TGAATGGATGTTCATAAATATATTATCATATGAATTGATATATTATACAATGTTACTATGAAACAAAGATGATAATAAAATCAACGTTGTAGTTCTTAAGTTGTTTCATTCTTTGAAGCAAACATTAAGCTGATTTCAAAGATCTCTTGAACAAGTTCTTGTATTTCAATTCAACATTACTAAATCTTGATTTTGTTGCTTAAATTGATTATAAGTTTAATTAAAAAATTCTATATATTTAGTGCTTTGTAAAATTATACATATATAATTTCACATCATTTTTATTCAAATCCAAAATAACTTCACATTTTACGACTCATAAGATATAATGTATTGTAAGTTTACCATCCCATTGACAACAAATTCAAATCGCTAAGTTTTAGCTCATTTTTTATCTCGGCATTATATGTATGTATCCTTGATCTAAATTATAATTTCCATGTCAAGAATCAAGATCATGACACATGTAATGATTGTATGCAATGAATTTTTGCATTCATAAAAAGCCTTTCATTTATAAATTTACAAATATAACACTTTATCTTGAAATAATATTGGTCTAACAATCCTAGATTTAGTAAATTGTAAGATATATTTTTGAATTACACATCAAAATAGTTAAAATAAAAAAAATTGTGATTCAAATTAAAATAATTATAAAATGTTGCATGTTAATTTATGATGAAAAATATAAATTACTATTAAAATAATTTTTTATTTTTATTTTTATTTTTATTTCATAAATTTTGAAATTTTTAGATTTTATTTTTTATTCGCAGAATAATTTAAATAAATTCTTTGAAAATCGAAAACTCGAAATAAAATGTTGGAATAAATATTATTAAAAAAATTTCAATGTATGTTATCAAGAAGACTAAAGTATAATAGTCGAAGTTGTGAACATACATAGAAGTTTACATCACCTACAGGTTTTGTGGTCTAGAAAATTTCCAAATTTATTTATATTTATTCATTTAAAGATTTCAAAGAATATAAAATGCAACTAACTATAAATTGCATATAAAACATTTCTTATAATTCAATCATTGATATGTTTAGAATTCCCTAATTTACATTTTAACTTGAATAAATTTGTTCATCCAACGACTACTTATGTCATACTAATCTTGTCAAAATTCATGAATCCACATTGTAACATATCTTAGTACAATTACTCAATACATTCCAATAGTGTATGTGTTGTAACATAAACACTATTAACACAAAGACTAATCTTACTAAAGTTATGGTTATAACGGTCGAGTTCAGATGAACATATTCTGTCAACTGAAGAGGAAAAATCTAAAACTATTGAAATAATGAAATCTTAATAAAACATCTCTAATGAGAAAAAAACATAAATCTGAACACAGCAATTTATTTTTGGTTTACAGTCATACAAATTTTCTAAGATTCGCCAAATATTCGACCAAGCGCTTCAAATCACTACTTAACCTTGAAGAGAAGTGTGGTCTACATCTTCTAACCCCGTTGCAAGAATTGTCGCAAACACTATGAGAAGTCAACTACAAGCTCCGAGAATCAGCTAGAGTTCTATTGTAATTATGGACTACTAACATATCAAAATTTGTATACGCAGAACTCATGAAATTGATTTAAAAATTTAATAGTTTTATTAATGTGAGCGTTTCCACTACCAGGATGCACAAGTATATTTCAGAAATGTCACATTGCAGAGCATTGTGCTCTCCATTCTCGTCCACAAAGGCAAAAAATTCTTGGGGTTGTAGAAGTGGTGGCCCGTGTAGCAAGGAAGCACTTCCATGCTGTCTATGAGTTCTGGGTGTGAACTCGTAAACAAGTCCATCTAGTGGTTATGACAAGCTTTTATACACACATGCAAGAACATGAGATCCTGGGGATAGGCTGGAGCGAAGTGGCAATACAATAATACTATTGGGCACAACAAGTGTCTCGGGCGAATCAGATCATGAGCGCTGTAACTGTTTACAAACTCGTGGGAGAATTAGCAATCGTCAAGCTATTCTCTAAAATTTTTAAGGGGGTGACTCGTCGCTGCAGCAGATTTCTTAGTGTAAGCTTTTGGTGCCTCCGAATACAAGAATGCTCGCACCAAATCTTCCAAGTACGTTCGGCAACGGTCGTCTTCTTACATCGAGCTCTGAATAGATCGAGGAGGTGCGAGGCGAAGTTTGTCAGAGACGCTAGAATCTGCAGCTAGGAGGCAAAAGCGCAGAGGTTAGAGTTGATCTGAAGAAGCAGAAAGAAAATGATTCTGCGATCCATCTCCAGATACGCGGGGAGATTCAATCGTCGGAAGAAAAGACACATCAATTTGGATCACTAGAGAGTGGAATGACCTCTGAGCAGCAGAAGAATCTGACCCAAGAGAAAAGAATGGCCTTGAACGGCTCAGGTTGCGCGTTCCACACAGTTCAGATGCCACAGTGTTGCAGCTCAACATCAAGCGTAAGAACAAGGTCACAAAAGGTCACGAGAACACCACAGAGCCATTAGTTTAATGCGCGCTCCATTATCCTCAGGCACAGGGACAAAATCTTCGAGGACTGCGCGAACGAAGGCGACATTGATGACGAGGAATACGGACAGACGCATTCTTGTCGACCAATACGGTCCACTGATGAGCTCCCCTACTGTAGCCCTAACAGAGGCACAACTCTTCTGTTTGCGGTGTCTTCTGCATCGGCTTGTGGAGGCAATGGGACTACGTGAAAACCTGAATCTCTGCACTTCCAGGGCGACCTACAACATCTCGGCCCTGCCATTGGGCGACCACGTCTCAGACTTCACATGCAACCAACTTCCTCACGTACGCACTGCGCCAATTAGCAGCTCGCAGCTCCGGCATCGTATCCCAACCGTCAACAGCATCCGATCGCCGTGCCTCCTCCTTCCGAGGGGAAAAACTAGGAATTTATCGGGCTGACCAAAAAGTTCACTGTTCGAAGACTTTCTTCGCCCAGTGGGAACTCGATTCCCTTCACGAGGTTTGGCATCGCCTAATCCATTCTCTCCACTTCCTTTACATTACGTTGTTGGAGGAGGCATCTGATGTACATGATCCTTCGTTATGAATATTCCTGGACCCAACGATGAAATATCATGACACGGATCTGGATATAGATAATAACTTGAACCGATGTATATTGCACGAAAGAATCTGAATGGAACTCTAGCATAATTGGACGCCTCGAATTCTCTCTTGGTAATAGTTCTCTAGCATGGAAACTATCTCTGACATTTTGAGAAAAAAAACGAGTAGATAACAATAAAGGAGGACAGATGTGCACGTCTGACCTCTGGGTCGAACCAGAAGTGAAGCACGTTCGGTTCGTCTGAAATATCCAGAAGCTGAAAGATCTCCATTTGAGCAATGATCTTCTTCATACATAATATCAACGGAGTTAACCTCACTATATTTTCACGATATTATGCACCTGAGACTGCAAGGACCTGTCCCTCAGAAGGACAATTTTTTAATGGGCTGTTCCTTCCTACTCCAAACGCTCCTCTCGGAAAGTTCACCTGGAAACTTGTGACTATGTCGATAATTAAGTTTTTATTATTTCGCACTAACTTCAGAGGTGTAATGCCACTTGCGAAGGCACTGTGTGTTGCATATATTAATCCGAATCTTCATTTCATATTTGCGTGTTGGTTCTGTGCACTTCATGAATCCTGAGTAACGTATTGTACTGCATTTTTTTTCACTGACTTCGGTGACGCTCTCTTCTAGATGGAGTGCTTTCGGTAAGCACACAATTCACCTGTGAATGTGCACCGAGTAGTTATTTTGTGGAATGAATATTCGGTCCTCAGATGACGAAGGATTGTGCGTTCATTGAATCCTCTCTGAGAGCCCAGCCGCCTTTTCCTCGCTGAGAATATCTGATGAGAAAAGAGGCTGCAAAGTCGAGAGCACATGTACCCTTGTGACCCAACTCTTCATCGTCGCGCGTTCAGACGTTCAATATCTTTATCCTCTCGTTCGTAGCACCTTTTGTGTTCGAGACTGACTGCACACCTTTTCGCCGTCGTTGACCTTGCAGCTCCCAAAAAGGACTGATTTTTTATCATATCAAAACGAACTTCTCGTGGGTCGGTAATGTGTACAGGCACTTCATTCCTAGAAATTATATCTTCGCGGACACCAAACGCTCGTCTCCTATAGACCTTTCTCTAGGACTGAAACTAGAGTGGAGAATCAAATTCCGGTTGCAATAATCTTCTGATGGCAGTTTAGGCATAATTCAAGCCCGAGATGTATATTCTTCCAAAAGAGAACGATGTGTAGGTAATAGCTTCACAATATTATTTCATTCTGTTCAATCATTGTTCATCACAAATTCAGCTTAACTGAAAAGAACTCATTGGATAACAAACGTCGGAGTAGAAGTCAATATCGTTAGTGTACTCTTGACGTGAGTCAAACTTCAGAAGCCGACAATTGGCCGCAGAGAATGTCGAAGGAGAGCAAAAGTGCAGCAAGCAACATGATGGGTTTAAGGACAGGGCTAAGTAAACGGACGAAGATTAGTTGATTAATTAAGCATGCTTAGCAGAGGGAGCGGTCAGAGTGGAAGCGGGACGGAGGAGGGTGGGGGAGGTCATGTGGGGGCGGACGCAGGGGCAGCAGAAAAATGCGGCATGTCTCCCGCCTGCTGCCCGCTGCCCGCTGCCCGGGGGCAAGGCCCATGTCCCCTCGGAATTACCACAACGATTGCATTTTCCACACAACCTTTGGCCAAGCTCGCACTTCGGCCCGCTCCCGCCACGTGCCTCCATCTGGCGCGCTCCCGTGGCCATCTGACCATCCAAGGCGAAGATGCTGCGGCGACGGAAGCTGTCTGGTTCTCGGTGACCGAGTAAACAGACGCAGATCGAAGCCTCGTGAAAAGCTCCATTCCCCGTCCCCCGGATGTACAGATTCCCTTCTTCTCAGTCACTGCAAAGAGCGGCGGAGCGCGCCCCCTCCTCGTCCTCGTCCTCCTCGTCCGTCGTCGTGGTCGTCGATCCGATACGAAGCGATTTTGTTGCACTCCGCTGCTGCCGCTTTGTTTCGAAAGGACGTCGAATTGGGAAATTGTCGAGTCCAGTGATGAGTGTGGGAGTTTCAGTTCGAGGCGATGCTCGTGAAAATGGAGCGCGCGACGAGAGCTGATCGTCGCCCGCGATTTCTGCAGGAATTTGGCTCCGGTGGAAATGTGCTGCTGCAGAGGCGGCTCTGGCGTGGTTGGGTGAAAATTCGCGGTTCCGACCTCGGATTGTTGTAGCGGATCGTTTCGGGTCGAGGAGGAGGAGGAGCAGGAGGAGCAGGCTTTGGTGAGAGGGGCCTTCGAACGCGAGCCGCGCTTGCGAGAATTTTTTTTCGGCGGGTCTGTACTCGTCCGAACGCGGCTTCCTTACGGAGCCGAGTGAAGAGAGCCGCAGAGTAGGGCAGAGGAGCTCCTCTTTCTGCACGGAAGTAGAGGTCTTCTGTGGCTCCCGCGAATTGCGAATTTGTCGACGCGATTTTCTGTCGCTCTGTAGCTCGTGCTGTGCTTCACTGTAAAGGGGCTCTGTAGCCTGGGAGTTCCAGAGTACAGGTGACTGCAGCGGTAGACCAGGAAACATTTGCGCTATTGGTGGAGGATGTAATTTGCCCAGCTAATTTGCCGGTCGAAAATTCCAATCTCCCCGTATTTGGCCAGAACATGGATCGGAGCTTGCTTTTCAAGGATGTCGATTCACAACCCGTATATTTGGACAAAGATGGCCAGGTTTTTGAGAGTGCATTATAACTGAAAAGCTTCACTCACCGGTCAAGACCTGTGAGTGACATCTATCCAGCACCTCGAGTTCTCGAAGGGCATGTTTCTGATGGCATGAGAGATTCATGAGCCTCTAGACTACCATCTTAAACAAAGGTTTCTCATTTCCACCGTTGTTATGGCTAGTTGCCTTCCATCTTCTAGCATCTTGACAATGCCGGTCTTCGTTGGAGCTTTTGTGGAGAAAACAGTTGCCCATACTCTCTCTGCAAACTGCATACTTGCAAAGAAAATCTGATTCATATAGGCGCAGGGTTTTCTTGCTTAAACTTAGACTATCCCAGTACAACTTGCAATCATGTCGAAAAATCCTCTTCTCAACAAACCGAAGGGTCCTAGTATCCTCAAGTCGGTTGACGTTGTCCGAGGGGGTGCAAGTACGGCGAGCATGATGAACAAAGAGATAAAGATTGAATCACAATCTTGGACAAAGAATAGTGCAATAAAAGGTCTGAAAACTACCAGTACGTCCAATTCTCTGTCTATTAAAGGTCGTAACTTTGGTGGAGGTCCACTGAAAGGTATTACGTCTGCTTCTTCTGCGCCTTTTGAAGGAGTACAGTTTCAAGAGCCTGAAGGAGCTGCCCCTTCGTCTTCAGACCCGATCCCGACAATGAAAGGAGGAGGAGAAAACGATTTGAATTTCACTATGGACCCTGCACCAGCTCCGAATCCACCACAATTAGCGGCCCGGAAATCAGTATATGCCACGGATGACAGGACTGAGTTTCCTTTCGAGAGTAAGACTGGGCTCATCCTGGCAAGGAAGCCAAGTGTACATATGGCGCTTGAGAATTTGGGCATCTCATCCATGCCACCTGCACCACCTTCACCTATGCGGTCGAAAAGCAGAATGGGTGCCATGATGATGGAAGGTCTTAGAGATGCAGGCGCAGGTCTAAGCCCACCTCGGGCTATGGATGGTGATGCTGATTTGCTGCAACTTTTCGGCGATGAAGAGGATCAAAGCGAGGAGGGTAAACCCGGGGAAAAGTTTTATGTAGTGAAGGACATGAAAGAAGTAGATTACCTGGGTGAGAGTACACTGGGTGACATGAGTGTCCGGCGGGAACTCTTCGATCCGTGTGGTGAGTATCGAAAACTTCGTCTTCTCATCATAGATAAACTTCAGCTGCCATGACAAGGTCAAACCAACTGTGTTGCTTGATTTCGAAGTTCAGTTAAGTGAAGGTGATCGTGGGAAGGGCGAAGTGTGGAAGCAACATCTATTATTTTGCAGTTTATTGATTACATCTTCAGTATGCCGCTGAGATAGCTGTCATACGTCTTCTCACATCTGCTGTATTGAAATTAGAACTGTGTTGGTATCTTTCGCGCCGTGTTTCGGTTACAGCGAAACCAACGAATTCGTGTTTTTGGATTTAGTTTTAATGCTATTTTCTAGTGTTCACAAGTTGAGGAGTTTTATTGTACTGTCTATGACTAGAGGATATTGATATTATCCAGGTGACGTGCTTTTGTCCTTCCAGACAACGAGGGGGTGGCAGCAGGTCTCGGTGGACCGATTGAGGAAATTGCCAAGCATGAAGCACGAGAAGCAGAAAGTTTACTTGATAAGCTCAAAGTTCCTGTGAGTTCTTATTCGTCTCAGTACGTTTTTACTGCGTTCCTAACTCATGCTTGGATTCAGAGTGAGAACGAAAAACGAGCAATCTTCTTTGTTATTAGTAAAGTCAGTAAAAGCTAGCCTGACGGGTTATAGACTTTCTGAAGTGGGTTTTCTCCTTCGAAAGTATTTAGCTAATCAAACTCTTTCAAAAAATTTAGAGAAGCAGGAAGCGTACTTGTAAAAGTCAAGTTTCTTTCCTGTCCTTTTGGTTTCTGTACGTATTTTCTGCGTCCCTTCCTCAAGCCTTGATCCAAAGAGATGACGCAAAACGAGTTAACTTTATGAATAATGATGACGTTAGTAAGATTCAACTAACCAAATTAAGGATTTACGGAAGCGGGAAGTTTTTCCTCTCAACGTTGTTGGCCTCTTTTCTTCCCTCGGATCATAACTTTCAATCACGCCGCGGTGAGAGTCCAAATTCTTGAAAGAATTTGGACTTTCACCGCGGCGTGTTCGTATAGTATGTATTTTCCTAAGTCGTTGTAATTATTCTGTGGAGCCTTCGTAGTCTTGTTTTGAAACAGAGACTTCCATCACTTATCTCTGTATTTGCTATCCCTGTATCTCAAATTGTACTATTGCTTCTCATTGCCCGAAGACCCACTTCATTTGTAGGTAGTTGCGAACAGATTTGAATCTGAACACCGCCTATGTTCGTTACCTGTAGTAAGGGTTAATACTCGTTGAATACATAAACATGGGATTCTCTAGAACCTTTCCCAAGGATGAGTAGCGTGAGTATCTCTTGACTCTATCCTGTAACGCCCTTCCCCGGCAACTGATTAACCAGCTCTCCTGCAATCTAACCGTTGATGTGATACGAATGAGATCCTGGAGTAGGATTCATTCTTAAGAGTAGGATTCACATCTAGGGTAAATTTGGAGCTTGCCGTGGTGCTTATCTAATGGAGTTGCTCATGCAGCCACGGTGGCCAGAAGGAAAAGCATCAAGGGGTATCTTCTGCAGCAGGACTTTGAGTCTTCGCTCAATAACTACAATCGGTTACGACATGGATTACACTCTTGTTCACTACAACGTGAAGGTTTGCATGCTGGATCCATGGTTTCCATTTCTAGTTCTGGGTGGGAGCAAAGGGCAGCTTTTCTTTATTCAGTTTTGTTTTCATTGAAGACCCGAGTCAGGCTGGCTGTATTATGCTCATAGGCCTCTGCACAGCTTTTACACAGTTAAATGAGGTGCTGTTTGGAGGTGCGAAAGTCTGGAACAATTTTGAAAGTATTTCTGTAGTAAGACCTTACTTCGACAGAATACGTTCAAGAACATCAATTTAAGATCTTGTTTTTCCATGGTGGATCTAGGCGTGGGAAGGAAGAGCTTATGATTATGGAATTGCACAACTGAAGTCTATGGGGTACCCCGTTGATGGATTAAAGTTCGACCCCGATCTGGTACACCCTCCCTTTCTACATTCCTCCAAAAGTGTTTCTTCGCTTAGTTGAAGAAGGGCACAAGCTGTATATACCTATGAAGGCCCTGGAACTCGGTTAATGAGACTAAGAGCTGCTTTTGAAACTATGCAATGGTTTACATTCATCGAAGAGTTATCGTTCCTCTTTTCCACGGCAGATTTATATAACAGAACTAGGAAGTATCTCGCTTCAGTTCCTCGCGTTGCTTTCTTCAGGTTCACATTTGAAATATATAGTATGTCGAAGTAAGGATGATCATCGACGTTTGCAGGTAATGCGAGGGCTCATTATGGATAAGGAGAAAGGGAACTTGGTGAAGGCAGATCGTTTCGGTTATGTCAAGAGGGCCATGCATGGGACTAAAATGATTTCGAATCGAGCCATCAGGTATCCACAATTGAGACTTCATACTTTTCACTGAAACAATGTCAACAGGCCAACGTGACCAAAATATTCGTACAGAAGATATCTAACTTCCTGTGGTGAAAATCAACAGTGAAATGTACGGACGTGAGCTCGTGGATCTTCGAAACGAACGAAGATGGGAGTTTCTGAACACCCTGTTTTCAATATCAGAGGCGGGTTTGTATATGCAGGTAAACCTTATAATATTCTTAGGTACTGTTGTAGTTTTGAGTATTATTTAGGCATCTTGTTCCTCGTGCAACACAGTGTGTCGTTCAGCAAAGGGTGATCGCTAACGTTTGTTATCTGCTTTACAAATGATTATTTTTTTCACTGAAACGACTTCAGTATAGTGAAAGCTCTTCGGGCTTTGCAAGGATGGCTGCTTTGGGTTCTTTTAGCAAAAAAGGCTTTATACCGAATTTAGTGATATGTGAAAGGAAGGAAGCATTTCCCTAGAGTTTAACAAAGGAGTGTTTATTCCAGATGGTCGAAAGGTTGGATGAGGGTGCCGTGCCTCCCGAATGTGGACTCCTTGATTATGAAAGTCTTTTCGAGGTATGGAGAGATTTTTGGCTTATTTAGTTTCTTCTGGGAAGATTTTGGGTTTCCGCACTGTTTGAAAATCTTTTGCTTGAACTTATCCAGTCACTTGCATGTTTGTTATGATCCCGCACCGATCAATGTCGGCAACGAGAAGCTTTGTGTTTTTGTAGCACATCACTGAGCCTAACTTATTCTTTCCTCATTGTTTGAGCCTTACTCATAGAATGCGGTAGCTTCAAATGTTAGGTCTTTGACGAGTGTGCTGAAGGTCCTATGTCTCGGATTACAGCTTATAAATTCATCAGGGCTTAAAAACTCGTTGACTGTCAAAGCCTTTAGTTCTTTTTTGGTATCGTTGATGTATTTCAGTTTAGGTCTTCTCGTCGTTACTCCCATGGTCGTCACATTCGCAAGATTGATTGTTTTACAGAGTCGAGTCTCAGTTTTACCGTTGAATGACATGTGTTTTTTGTCAATCAGAACGCGTGTGTGCGATGACATTTACTAAATGAACTCACTGGAGGTATAATACCTACTGTTCATGTTTTTCTGACGTTTCCGTATTGTCTCGTTGCTTTTTTTCCTTGAACTGAATCCTGAAGGTGGTCTCAAAAGCTCTGTTCAAAGCCCACGTGGAGGGACGCTTGAAGGTAACCGAGCACAAACTGATGTTTTAGCTATCGTGATTTGCCTTAGGTAGCTTTTGAGCCGATGTCATCAGTTTCGTCACGGAGGTCAAAATGACGAGTTTTATCGCTCATCATTGCAGGACGAGATCATCAGCAAACCTGAGCACTTTGTAGAGCTCGACCCTGAGTTGCCGCTGGCACTCCTGGATCAGAAAGAAGTGAGTTTGTCGCCTTTCAAACCGCACTTACGGCTCTCAGCTCCAGACAGCATAATTATCCTCTTATTTCCGTCATGGTTGAAATATTTATACTGATGCTTGACAGTTTTTTAATTAAATCTCCGTTGTGTCGCCAGGCTGGTAAGAAGCTGCTTCTAATCACCAACTCGGACTATCACTACACCAACAAGATGATGCAGTTTGCATTCGACCAATTCCTTCCAGACGGGATGAGCTGGAGAGAACTATTTGACATGGTATGTTGAAATTTCAGCCTCGATTTATCAAAAGAGAGCCAATACACGACCTACGTTGGTAGAAGCTTAAGTTGGTTACTTGCTATGTTTTTGCCTTCAATTATTTGTTCGAATTATCGTGTTTCTTATAAAATTTATGTGATCAGGTTATTGTGTCTGCCAAGAAGCCGGACTTCTTCACTCTTTCGCACCCACTTTATGAGGTTGTTACAGCAGATGGTCTCATGCGACCCGCATTCAAGGCCAAACCTGGTAGGGCTTTCTCTTCATTTTTCTCACTGCAATAAGATGCAAACTAAAACTAAAAGAAAAGTTGTATGGAAGTGGGCCTAATAAGAATGAACCGTCTTGCATAGATCTCTATCCAACGTTTGTCGTAGGGCTGTGAACCCTTAGTATCTGGCCATGTGGAGCATACCCGGAAAGAGGATCAGAGATCGATGTCTTGATTTCTTGTATGAAGTTGGACCACCCTAGCAAGGACGAGCAGGTAAATTGCTAGCTTCGTATCACGTTTCCGAGAAACTTCTCCGCAGATTTACGTGCTGGGTATAACGAATAATCTGTTCTATGGTGCTTGTGAAGCATTCTTGAAATGTAGATACAGAGAATAAGCTTTGTAACCTTGTCTCTTCAGGGGGTCTTTACTGTGGTGGAAGCGCGCTCATGGTCGAGATGGCCTTAGGAGTCCATGGTGATGAAACTCTCTATGTCGGAGATCATATATACACAGATGTTAGTCTATCCAAGTTACATCTGAGATGGAGAACAGCATTGATCATTCGTGAGCTTGAAAAGGAGGTATTGGCATTCGAATCTCTCCATTTGCTTTCTGCACAAATTTAAAGCTCTGGCTTTGGATGTCTTCGTCCATGTTGAGTTGGGCTTTCCTGAATAAGTTTGATGAGAGATGTTTTTGTTACAATTTCTTCCTGTGAAACAAAACCTTACAAATGACCTTTGATTTCATGTTAAGGACGGATCAGGAAAAGGGTCAAGAAAAGGGTGCTACTACATTGTAAATCTTGGTGATCTACTTCAGCTGTAAGTGTTGACATTATGTGTCATTGCATTTCAGGTGAAGGCTTTAGCTTATGGACGTGAGCATAGAGCCAAGCTGATAGAACTGATGAATCAGAAAGAAATCGTTGGTGACGTCTTCAATCAGTTACGACTTGCTTTACAACGTCGAACTGTCGGTCGTGCGGCTCAGGTGAGCTAGTTCTGTCAAATTTGTCCTTCATCACACATGCCTTTTCTAACACAGCCGTTTGATCAGCAGGGTGGGAGAAAATAAAAGAGTATCCAAAATGATGTGCTCTTCTTATCAACCTGCAGTGTTTCCTTTTACCGATACTGTTTGTTACGTCGATAGTTATGGAACAACGCATAGATATTTTCACAAGAATCTTTGGTTCAGAACGTACAGCCATGGATGGATGATGTGAAGTAGCTAATACGTGGTCAGCAATGTTTGTGAAAAAAATCTTCTCAGCTCTATTTTGACAATGTGACATCGTGACGCTCGCTGCAGACACCCGCTGCAAATAGTATGGACGGGGAGGTTCTTGCTGAATACATGCAGAAACTACTAGTGCTTATGGGAAGACTGGACCAGAAGATAGCTCCCATGCTGGAAGCCGACGGACAATTTTTCAACCCGCGGTAATAAGGCAGCATCTAATGTCATAGATAATCATTTTTCTGGTTGTCTCTACAGCAGATTACCAGTTCAAAGCTTCTGAAACTGAGAAGTGGAGTTTTGCGCATGTCGGAATTGTAGAATCAAGCGACATCACGAGCACTAAACTTGTGATTATTGTGGCAGGTGGGGTTATCTCTCACGGGCAGGATTGTGGGACAAGAGTCATCTGACCAGGCAAATTGAGAAGTAAGAAGTTTATATTGAAGGAACATATATAAATTCTAGTTCTGTTTTTCCGTGTAATATGTGAAACCAAGTGAACACGGAACGACTGCATGGTTGGAGGGACATACAAACATACAAACATACATAAAACCTATCAATGTAAGGTCTGTTACATACAGTTTTATCACCTAGGACCTCTCAATTCGTATCTGAGGCACATTTATCGCCATCTCGATGTACATGTCGTTGTCACTGGGCACAGTGAGCACACCTTGGAAGATGCAGCAATCTTCTTATCTGCATCTTAGTAACGGGAGCTCGTTGATTTTAGGTTTCAAGTCGAATCTTGCTACTATCTTGCATGGATTAACTCCTAAACAACTTTTGGCTTCTAGTCTTTCGGTGTTTCGGTCCTCCGTTAGCTCGTTTCTCTTCCATTTGCATTGTAACAGTGCCTACCTACTAGTATGGCTTTAGGTCTTACAATTCACGTTCTTGCTATCACTTGAGAGCCCAGCGTCCAGATTGATCTTCACAAACAGGACGTACTAAGACTCGAATCCACCTTTTTTTGAGAGGTCGAAAGATGATAGCTTGCGTAACAGTCTTTCTCATCAAAAGCAGGTGAATTTGAGGTCAAACTCACGTGGACTGAATGTCTGTCGTCAGAGATATAATTTCAGTCTCCTAATGATGTAATGTGCCTATCACTGATCGTTTGTTCGCTTGATTTGATTTGCAGATACGCGGATATATACACCTCCAGAGTTTCCAACTTCTTAAGATACACTCCTTTCATGTATTTTAGATCACAATCGCAGGTATGATATCCTCGTGTTGAGTATGTACACTGTATGTGTCTAACTTCTGGACTGAACGCATTTCTTTATCCATCGCGTCGTCCCTTACTGTCTCTACTTAAAAGGAACTGAAATTAATTGTGGACAAAAGTAGCTGATTAATCATCTATCTATTCAATCTCATCACCTACGTCATGCCAGGGGTTGAATTTAGTACTCCCTACCTTTTTAAGTTCGGCGGAGGGGTTTTGACAATCTCCTTATTTGCTGATCGCTAGCAGTTAAATCGTAGAATCTCTGTGTATGTATACCCAAGGAATGTAACTTTATAGCTTCAGCCGGGAACCACTGCGCACTTCCACTAAAATATACAGCTGAAAGCGGTGTAATGTACTAGTTATGTTAACGAACGTAAGTTAGACAGCAATTCTTTCTGTGTGTGCCCATCTTACTGAATATTTGAGTATATTCAAAGGAGATAGGGTTCTGACGCAATGAAAGTTGTTTTCCAGTTGCCACACGTCTTTTTGGATGAACGAACTTGAAATCCGCCAAGGCAGATGGTCAACTTACCGAAATCTTGATCGAAAATTTGAGTTTGGTGCTACTCAAATTTGCAGTATGCAGGCAGCCTCATTAATCAATCACTTGTTCAACAATGAATACATATATTATTAACTTAAATCACTTACGTTTCAGAGGAGGGACCATTGTGAGATTTGTCAATGAATCGCAACCCGTGTACCTTCGAACTTCTATGTTTATGAGTTGCTCACGGGAGTTAAAACGCAATGTTTTTCAGGAATTAGAAGATGCCGTATAAGCCACTTGTCCTTGCCTGAATACTGTCTTCAGAACAATATTAAAAATGTACAGCAATTCTTTCTTGTCCCTTCTTTTCCTGTTAAATATCTTCTTTTCATGGCGATGCAGACTCTGGCCATTTGATTATATGCCTAGTGGAAGTGAAGCATCTAACTGTGCAGGTGGTTATTTTGATGCAGACTTTGGCCCATGACTGCGACACCCATGAAGTTGAGAACGGTATTGAGGATAGCCTTGTCGAACCTGTTCCTGAGGACCACAGACAGCTCCACAAGAAGAAATGATCACTACGTTATGTTCATAGTGAGTCTTGTAAGATAAGGACTCGCAGCAATTAGCAGACCCTCAATTCTAGCTAAGCAATCCTGATGTGGTAGTCATCTAATTTTGATAGTAATGCTGATGCAGGCGCAGTCACAAAGAGCTGATCCTGTCGTGTGCTCTTTGCGAAGCTTAGGATTAGGATAGCTTTATGCTTTTTGTGAAGTTGATTGAGGTGCTAGAATTGAGGGTCAAAATTCTAGCCCATCCTTTTTGTGAAATCGATGGTGTCCAGTCTTGTGGAGACTGTGGTATGTCTCATTGTTATAAAGTCTCCTGAGCTCACGTAAATGTCGATTCCATTCACAGATGTTTCACCACGGTTTTGTCAGCATAAATTGTTTTCCGGACTGTTTGGCAGGTCGAGTTCAAAGGGGAACTCACTATCCCTTGACAACCCGTTTTCTCTCGTTGATATAGCGATGAATCGGTCACATGCCTTTGACAGAGTTTCAAAAGGAAAGAGTTGGATTGTTATATTTTTCGACGTAAAATATCTCTAGGAAAAGGCAAACGTGGACGCGGACCGAGATCACTGTCTGTGTGTTCTCATGTGCTCTTCATACCAGACATCGCATCCTTGAATGACAAAGTCTTTTGTGTAGTTTGTGAGTGGAATGTTTGCATTTTATGAGCACTTCTATCCAATAGGTTAAGTAGATGTTCTTTCTGTGGTCTGTGCTCGTTTAAGTAAATGTCGACGTAGAAGTAACATAAACTGTCTTTCCCGTATTGAATCGATGTATGCAATGTGCTTATCTTTGGCTTGTGAAACTATAATCTAGTTTTGATATAAACTAATTTTAAGTAGTATATTTTGATATCAGTGGATTGAATCAAATTTTGTGCACAAGCCTAATCACCGTATTGGTTTTTGAGGAAGTCGGATTGCAGAGCATATATGCTTATTCGGATATATTCATCTCTTAAGCTATGTTGTTTTGGGTGTTGAAACAAGGTGAAATTATTGATAATATGATAAACTAATGATGTCAAAACACCGTCAAACATGCACTTACATGATGATTTTGAGTATCAAGGTATTATGTCGAGTTTCATATAAAGCAGAAAAGATAGAAAGTAATATTATTTTTGTTATGAAAGAATACATCCTTTATGTTGTGCTGATTTATCTCAAATCAGAATTTTAATATTATTGAGATCTATCAAGTTGGGGTTTGGGCAACCATAACATTTTTTGTACAGAAATGTTTACCCTTCAAATAGTAACCAAAGATCATTTAAAATAAATATTCAATTCAATTTCATGATCTCTTTAAAGTAGTTAAATTGACTGAGAGTCATTATATATAGACTATTCGATATCCATACTCAAATTATTTATACTATGATGGATTCAGTAAAAATTCTAATTGTTTTACAAAGAAAGAAAGTCTAGATACTGTACAGTTTCAATCAGTAAGATCATAAAAGAAAAAGTCTTTTAAAATATTACATATGTGGTTTGTGTTATATATTAGTATTATTCATTGTTATATGTAACGTAAAACACGTATTATATTGTGTATTATGATTGGTGTCCAGATGTCACAAGCACATGAGTATATGGGGTAAGATGTTTTGGTTCAAGAGTAAAAGATGATGTTATATAAAATTTATATGTATTTAGCTTTTAAACATTTAGAATATCATGATTCCAAGCATGATTATTGTTTGACGTATTTATGTCATTCTATTCACATAAGACTTGACTTTTATCAAAAAAATAAAATATGTTAAAATTTTTTGACATATGTCATGATTAATAACTTGAGTGGGAGTTGGCACTTGAAATATACTCTCAATAATAACATTTAGAAATGTAAGACTTTTGCTTCAAGTGAATGGTTGGAATTCAAATAAAGACATCCATTAAAATAAAAAATTTTTAACCTTTAAATTTTAACACGAATTGTAGTGATATTGTTAATCATAGAGTTCAAGGCTATAATTTTAAAAGAAAAAACATTAGAATGTAATCTATGAATATAATTAGTGTATTGCAAGGGTTAAAAATTTTAGAAATTAAAGTAAGAATTTCTGACTATAAAATTTTATTCTAGATGATTATATACAGAAAGTTCTTGTGATTATTTATCTAAATGTTATGTGTAAATACACATTGTTTATTTGAAGATGAACATATATTATAATTCTAATTTCAAATTTAGAAGGAGATGATTGTAAGGAATGTCAACAGATTTTGAAAGAGAAAGGTGACTCGATGTAAAAAGATTTAATTTCTTATGTTGAAAAAATAAATATTTGAACTTAAAAAATGAATATTTGATAATATGAATCACCAAAGTATAGAAATTGTATAGAATGATGATAATCTATCTCATAACATGTCAAATAATACAATGATAGGTAATATGTTCACAACGAATGTGATTTATGATTCATTTTTAAGTGAAAATTATATCTTAAATAAATCTTGAGATTTTGATTTGTGAAAATATATTTGAATTTTGTTCACTACATATGGGAAAGCTATATTCAAAAAAATATGAAACACAATGTATTAGATAGTGATTAAAAATGTATTCAGATGAAAGAAAACCAACATATATAATAATGTTGAAGAATTAGTACCTGATACTAAATATTGATATTCAATATCATTTAAAAAATATAAAAAAATTGATCATCTATTTAACTCCCTAACGATGTCTAATATATCATTTTATGATTGATTACATTTTATGTAGTCAAAATAATTTTTTGAACACAAGTTTCATCTTCAGAACTGAACATAATCTTTACATTGAGAGAATTAAAGCTTAATACTTTCAAGATCCATCAAAACGCGATGTATTTGAATCAGTAAATTTTTGTGCTCTAGAAATGTCAAGTTACTTTGAAGAAATATAACGTAAGAATGTATAGCTGAAATTACTTGATGGTACAATGTGAAACACAAATAGCATAATAGGACCCATCACATATCATTTCATTCAATGGGATCCCACCGAAAGCACACTGTCACCAAATTCTAAACAAAGGTGTTGTAAGTTCATGTTGCAGCGGAATATAGTGGGGGAGAGTGATTGACCCTATCTGGCTGTAGTTGACGGCTACAGTATGAGGAGAGGGATAGGTTGGAAGTTCCAACTTGGTTGCAAATATTGCAAACACGGAGCAACTGATAGTGTATCAGTGCGTTGTCTTGAACACTTGAAGCTATTAATTTCATTTGCCATTTCGAAATGCATCAACACGAGGATAGTGAATTGGATAGGAAGAAATTTTGTAGATATACGTTGTGTCATACCAAGATTAGTTGTTGTATCACTAAGAGTCTTCGAAGATTGTCACATAGATTCATTTATAAATAATTCGTTTAATCGTAACACATTGTATTCTACACGCAATGAAAGAAAAAACGGTTCACACGTTTACAAGTTATTGAACCTCATGGATAAAGTAGTGCAGGAAGCTAGGACTAATATCCAATAGGTTTTTAGGTTATTGCAACTAAACCTGGTACCAAACTGATTTGAGATGATAATGTGGTATACTCGAGCACTTTTTGATATCGAAGATAGAAAATTTTTTGGAATAATACAATTGTACTGGATTCGTAATCATCTCTGTGTAGTGTAGATATGAAGTCCACTGTATCCTGCATCATAGATCTGGAAGCTGGTGTAAAAGCTTGCCGAACTTAAGTAGATTGACGATGTGATGAATCAATAACATCAAACATTTATCATTGATTGAAGTTGTTCGTTGCAACGACGACTCTCTTGAGTCCTGCTCTAATCGTTACTCCCACGGTCTCACTGGCCACCCTCTAAACATTGCGTTAGAAATCATGTTAGATTCGGTACATATGAGAACGTGGATGACATGTGCTGTTTGTGGGATCCATCAAAACGCGATGTATTTGATTCAATAACTTTATTGTGCTATAGAAATGTGTAGTTACTTTGAAGAAATACAATGTATAGTTGAAAATTACTTGATGCGAAACACACATAGAGTAAAAGTACCCATCACATATCATTTTATCCAATGGGATCCCACCAAAAACACACTGTCACCAAATTCTCAACAAAGGTATTGTAAGTACATGTTGCAGCGGAATATAGTGGGGGAGAGTGATTGAACCTATCAGGCTATAGTTGGCGGCTACGGTATGAGGAGAAGGATAGGTTGGAAGTTCCAACTTGATTGCAAATTTTGCAGCCAGTGCGACTGATAGTGTATCAGTTTGTTTTCTTGAACACTTGAAGCTATTATGTTCATTTGCCATTTCGAAATGCATCGACAAGAGTATAGTGAATTGGATAGGAAGGAATTTTGTAGATATACCCTGTGCTATACCTAGATTAGCTTTTGTATCACTAAGAGTCTTCGAAGATTGTCACATAGATTCATTTATAAATAATTCGTTTAACCTTAACACATTGTACTCTAAACGCAATGAAAGTAAAAAAGATTCACGCATGAAAAAGTTATTGAACCTCATGGATAAATTAGTGAAGGAAACTAGGACTAATATCCAATAGAGTTTTAGGTTACTGCAACTAAACCTATTACCAAACTGATTTAAGATGATTATGTGGTATATTGGAGCACTTTTTGATATCAAAGATAGAAGAAAAATATATGGAATGATATAACTGTACTGGATTCGTGATCATCTCCGTGTAGTGTAAATATGAAGTCCAGTGTATCTTGCATCAGAGATCTGTAAGTTGCTGTAAAAGCTTGCCGATGTGATGAATCATTAGCATCAAACATTTATCATTGATTGTAGTTGTTGTCGATTGCAATGAACTGCGGCCTCTCTTGATTCCCACTCCGCTCCTATTCGTTCCTCCTATTGTCTCACTGGCCACTCCGCTCCTAATCTTTCCTCCTACTGTCTCACTGGCCGCCCTCTAAACATTGCGTTAGAAATCCCTGGCGGTCCATATCAGAACATGGATGACATGTGTTGTTGGTGGGATCCAAGTGTGTAAAATGAGACGTAATGGGTCCAATAAGCACTTTGAGTTTTGGAGAAATACCATCAAGTGATTTTCTCAATGTATAATAATATATTATTTCACTCATTCACATGTTTTGATGTAAGGGATTGTTCACAGCGAGACAATGAACGACCATCATTTCCACACAATCAAAGTCTAAATGGACAGATTGATTACGGGCAAGGAAATTACTTGATGGGAACACTACATGACACAGAAAGCTGTTTGGGACCCATAAAATATCATGTTATGTGATGGACCCCACCCATGTTCTAATATCTGCGGAGGGTGATTTCTAGATGATGTTTAGAGGAGGAAGTAAGAACTAGAACAGAAATCTCTCCGGTACAGAGTTGAGATTTCGTGCTGTGAATTTCTAACCTCAATCAACTGATGTACATGTGGTCATTTTTGTGTAGATAGAAGTCTTGATTATCTTATAGTAAAACTGTATGCCCTGATTTCCCCAAAAAGATGTGTAGAAGCGAAATGGTTATGGAAGACAATACTCTCTTCACGAATCAACAGAGTTAATTTTTTTGAATTTAGGATAGTGAAATGTTCAGAGACGTATGTCTCGAAGCTCATCTGCAAGACAATTTATATGACTTTCTCCACTCAAAGTGAATCGCCGAGAGTAAAGTGCACCGTCTAGTGATAGAAAAAGAAAATTCCAGAAAGGAGTGCTATACGATAGCGCGGGTAAAACGAAGCGAGTGATGAAATGGTTGATAATTACTGGCGATCACTCCCCCACACTTTAAAATGGTTGACTCCATGCAGAAGGAGTAGTCAAAGCGAAGCAACGCGAGAAGGTTTACTTGCCAAACACAACAAGCCTGATACTCGCTTTCATACGGACGAGATGATAGCGCGATCACTCCCCCACATAACATATAGTTATGAGAAATTTCTTTAAAACTTGATGAAGGTGTGATGTTGGTGGTTACCCATCGTCCAAAGTGATACCTGATGGGTCGAGTAACCTATGTGTGTTAACCGGATTCTCATCAAGTAATACTCTCATTTCCTGATGAATCTTGTTTTACTTTTAACTTTAGTCTTGTTTCACGGCCAAGTTCCAACATGAGGCGCTCGAAAACTCGAAACTCGAAGTGCAGGACGAGGTAGGTCATCGACTACATTTCGACTCCAACTGCAGCAGCCGCTGGGCAATCGCGGTCGCGGTCGTGGTCGACGTCGAGTGAATCTTGCAGAGGGTCCAGTCCGGTCCAATCCAGTCCGTCGGATACGATCGTCGTGCACATGCGCCCATCGTCTTGGTCCTCGACGGGCCCCGGCATCGAATCGAAAACTCAAGCTCCTGGCGCGACGAGCCTCCATCGCCTTCACGTGATTCTCGACCTCGATCGGCTTCGCGGAGTGGGAATCGGATGCCGCATGCAGTTCGAAATCGAGCTCGAGAGTCGCTCCGATGGACATCAACATGAACAATGCATGAGTCGCTCCGATGGGCAGTTAGTTGACCGGACGTCATGTGGGCCGTTCGGCCTTGACGTGAGGTTAATTAGTTTAATTAGCATTTGTTGGCACCACTTGAAATTACTCGGTCTTCATGTGAAGGGGCGCCGAGTCATGCGTACTTCTGTAGTCCTTCGAGCCTTCGGAGCTTGGCTTGTGCGCTCTTCTTGTGGTCCCCATGCCATCTCTCGTTCTGTTGGTTTGAATCTCGAGAACATGTGGCTGCAATCGCCGCAAATATGAATCTCCGGAATCGCGCGAGAGTTTCGGATCCCCCATCCCCAATCCACCAGCAGCAGCAGGAGGAGGAGGAGGAGGAGGAAGGGTTTAGGGTTATTATGATTCGGATTGCCTCCGTGTCGATGTCACGGGCTGACTTTTTTTTTAAACCCTGTGCTTGTGAGCATCGAGCCATTTACTGAAATGTCGCAAGGCGTTTGAAGGAATTTGTGCGATTATGTGCCTTGGGATGGGGACTTGATCCCTTCGTGGCGGACAAGTGCATTGATATTAAAAGCTGGCACCCTCACCTGAAAATTATGTCCCCGTCGTTACTTTTAAACGGGAGGATGAACATACGGAAGCACAATTGATTCTGTAGGTCTTCGAATCACGACCTCGGGGAACATCATAGTCTCGTCGAGCTGCGGCTGGCCGAACGAACGACTTCCTTGCACCCGATCCGACGATCGGGGTCCGGCCGGCCAAACCGAGCCGAGGGTGAAGTAGGAGAGCTGCATGCTCTCCTACTTCGCTTCACCAGATCCTGGAATTCTGCGGATCGCCGGCATCGGCCTTTCGATGTGATTGCAGCTACCTACAGTGAGAAGAGCGGGATACGGGATAAGCCCCACGAGACTCCGCTGACTCTTTTCCGATGGAGGAAGAAGTTGGTGCCACCAAGCACCCAACGCATCAGGCGCCGCTCTCGTTTCCATCGACAAGACCGCGCTGCTGATCCGAGAGACTCACTGGTGTGAACTCGTGGATATTCTTCTGCATGTCGATGGTTTCATGTCAAAGTCACATGGCCGGCCGCGGTGTCGAGACCTCCAATCTCAACTTTCCGCAACCAGTATTTGGTAAAGAGATTGAAGCGAATTTCCAACCAAGAAATTCTCTTGTGAGTCGGAAGCATCAAGGCATGAGATTCTTCATGTAATCGGCGTCAGCTGCTCACGAATTCGAAGCAAACTAGAATAATCGAATGGGAATCGGAAGGGAATATTCCCGATAGGGAAGGAGGGAGAGAACGATTGATTTGAGTCTTGTGAGGTGGGGGCCCATGTACAGGAGAAACGAGATTCCAGGCTCGATCCGAACGTCAAATTAAGTCAATGTCGGGTGCGAAGATGGACACGGTGAAGATGGTCACCCTGAAAACGATTTGGCAGAACGAACAGCCGTGGGAATGAATGAAACCCACACTCGAGCGATGGCTGGCGGGCAGGCGGCCGTCGCCTTGCCAAAATACATCGTGCGTGGTTCATGGTGCAGCGAAATGCTCACCATCGTCCGAACAATTAATTCGGCGCGATTCTTCGTCTCGATATTCGTTCCCGAGGATTCGAAATTAGAATTTGTCGTCAGGAAAGGGAGGTCGGTCAATTCCTCGCCGGCGTTCCAGAAGCTCGGCTCCGGAATCACGCCGATGCCCACCCAGCCCAGCTACCGGTCGATGCACCACACCTCGACCACGTCGGGACTCGCCACCAAACTTTGACCGCAAACATCCTTCCCACCACGTCCCTCCCGCGCCTGCCCCCGACCGCCACCACGGCGTGAGTGCAAGGGCGCCGCCGCGCCAACCATGTCAAGCACGGGGCCGATCTCGTGTCCACGATAAGAGGGAGACGGCGCCCACCGGGGACAGACAGTAAACACACTCCCACTCAGGCTCAGACTGCAGACTGCGGACTGCGCCTCCTCGTTGCGCGGCAGCGAAGCCGATGACCGTAGTTTCGCAGAGGTCGGGAACCGCGGCGAGGGTTTAGAACGACTGCGTTGTAGCTGAAGAAGCGACCACGCTCGACAGTGAGATTCGAGCCGAGCGATGATCTGAGGAAATCAGAATGCTCGAGAATTCAGCGATTCTCGAGAGCTCTCCTGTGGCAGCCCAGCCCACGTGCCTGAATTGATGGACGGGTATATTTAGAGGCTGCGTCTGCTCAACAAGCGAGAGCCCCATCTCTTCTGAGCTTTGATCTTCGCAGATTGCAGCAGGCAGGTTTGACTTGCAGATTGCAGCTGGAGCATCACATTATCATCCCCTTTAATGCTCTCCAACTGTTCTCGAGGATCTCCCACGTCACATCCGGGCTCGGCCTCGCCTTCCAAATTCAAATTCCAGCACAGTCGTCCCCATGCACACTGCTGAGACTGGTCGAGAACCCGAGCGCCAGGCACCCTCGCTCCGTGTCGAGCCTGGATTGGATTGCATTGCGAACCGTGTATGCACCCGGAAGCTTGTACATTCGATGTCGGCAAATCATGCGGTCCGAGCCTAGAAGTAGCAGTACAGTAGAGGACTGGGAAGCCGAGTTGTCGCAGCAGTCGTAGTGGTTGCAGAATCGGGCTGAGTCGATCAACCTCGAGGTCTGGAGCCCAAGACGACATCAGCAGCTGCAGTAGTTCAGGCTGGGGGGTTGCCAAACCAAAGAGGGCGGCAGGGCTAGAGCTTTATAAGCGAGAGGGCGTGTGTGCATGCACGAGAGAGGGAAGGGGGCCGGGGGAGGAGGAGGAAGAGGGAGGGAGGGAGAGAGGGAGACTGTAGTGCAGGACCCGGACAGTGAGAGGTGGAGGAAGGAGGTCATGGTGGGGATCATGGGCGAGAGTCGCTCGGAGGTTTGTCCTTGTTGATTCCGAGACTCGAGAATAGTGGTCGTATGCCACGCTGCAGCTGCAGCGTTGCATGAGAGCGCACTGCTGCGACTCCTGTTGCAGCAAACCGCCGGCGATCCGCTGCGCTTTTGTTCACAGTCAGCGGGAGGATTTCCGCAAGTGGAGCATACTCTGCATGAAAGAACGGCTCCCGGGCGTCAGTGTCGCGCAGTAGGGAGCTGTCAGCATATTTTCTATTGCTGTTGCAGGTAATTCCATCGGTCCCTCCCCTGTGCTCTGCTGCTGCTTCTACCTCTGGGGGTGAGTGAGGTAGACAAGGAGAGCAAAGTGAATGAGAAAGAGTGAGAGAGAGAGAGGGAGAGAGGGGAGAGGGAGAGCAGAGAGCTGTCACGTCGGGCAGTTTTCGGGGCTATAAATTTAGCAAGCTCGTCTCTCCTGCTGCTACATCAGGCATCCTGGAACAAAATTGGAAGAAGCTGACACCCATCCTCAATTTGTCCAGTTCCTCGGGGCGTTGTCTATAGAAGAGAGAGTCCTCATCAACCGCCATTCAATTTCCCCGGGGGTCACGCTTGATCTTCGTACCCACTATATCATCTATCCAATTTCGCTGTCCCTCGCTCTCGCTCTCACTCATAGCGCTTCGAATCACTCACACACTGCTCTCCGTCCGTCTCCAAGTTGGAATTCCGAAGCGTGTCCAAGAACACTCTTGCAGCAGTCGCCTGGATTGCTTTGCTTTGCTTGGCTTGGCTTGGCTTGCTGGGGTCCGATCGGGGGAAATGATGAGGTCGTGTTTCGCGTTCCCGGTGAATCCCAAGGCGACGAAGAAGAGGGGAGTGAACGTGGGCAGTCGAATTCTGAATTTCAGCGTCGTCCGCAACTGGATGAGGAGGCTGGGCAGGCACCGAACGCTCAAGCGACATGCCATCACCGCCGGTGCGCGCTCCAACTCCTCCATGAGGTCTACGACTGGATCCCGGAACGCTGCCTCGGACACGGGTCCATCCACTCTCTATCTCGACCCACCTCAGCGTCATCAACGGAGGCCCTCAACGAGCTCTGACTCTGCTCAGAGTGTGGTAGTTTAGTAGATAGAGGTAGAGATGGTACGACACTTACTCCAAATACGCTGTTAGATTTACACACATGTCTGCGTGGTTCGAGCACTTCTAGTTCCATCGGAGAATTGATGTACAGAAAGTGACCGGTTTGTAAGTGTCTTTATCTTGATTATGTACATAAACCAGAATTCCTGGCTTCATGGGTGCAATTTTCTCCTCCCTTGTTCTTCCTTGTCTCCCTCTCGTTCGCTTGCTCCAGTTTCGCCGTACCTGTCATGCGAACTCTCTACTCTCGAGCACACGGCCTTGTCCTGAAGCGGGTTACAACGGAGAGCCAGCAAAAGCTTCGAGATCCATCACAGGCTGAACATAGAGACGTGACTGTCTAAACATGCTCTGAACGTGAGAATTCCACGAAGGGTCGAAGACAGTTCTTCATCCTCAGGGACTGCTGTGTAGGATTTTGGAGGAGCCGTGTGTTTGGTGAAATTTATCCACAGGAGGAGTATGAGTTTAGTAGGTTCGTTGCAGTCGAGCAGTCGATCGGAACTTTGAATAGAGAGTGGCGAAAGCTCGTTCACAGTTGGACAACGCAGAAAAATGGATACGTTTTGACGGCAAGGACGAAGGATGAGATTGTGGAGATGTGGATTCGATTGCTGGATTTGTAGGGCAACCCCACTTTCTGTGTGCTATGAAGTTTCCAGGTTTAGGCAGATCGATATTAAAAGTGTAGCTGCCAGTAGTGCTTGATAAGTCGGCATGGTGGAGGACGTATATGATGCGCAATCAAGTCACTCGACTCACCTGTACGGGAGAATTACACGAGGTTTCCACAGGCTCAAGTTATAATCACGAGAAACCGAATGCTCAATGTGACCTGCAGTTGACGCAGAGGTAGAAGGCGGAAGGTCTGTGCAGGAGGACAAGCTTGCGCGATGAATATCCCTAGCAGACTCTGGGTAACGGGAGGACTGGATTGAGCCAGTTGATGGAGAATCCAATCAGTTCAGTGAATCATCGTCTACTGCTTGGCCTAGTTTAGGCTGTGAGCAAAGTGATCAGACGGAATCTTTTGCACTGTACTTTCTGCACGGGAATTTTCTCCTCTGGTAATAGAGCTGGAGTTTATTCCTATGTCGTCCGTAGAGTCGATCGACCACTTGGCTCCATCTGTCCCGCTCAACGAATATATCTTCTGCTCATGAATTTGCATTTCTCTGCTTGATACTTCGAATCCCCGCAATGGGTGGACGACCTCCGGTGACATGGGCGGGAAGATAATATTTTGGTTGAAATTCCGTGCCGTGATTGAATGGGCAATCAATGTGGAGGATATGAACTTAAAATCCGCCGCACTCAATCGTAAAGCCAGGGATGGCAGATTCGAAATGCGTTTGTTTTTTTCCTCACTATTTTGACAACATTGACACGTAACCTCTCCAGAAGTATCCTCACTGGAGGGAACTTGACCTGGGAACGGAAATGGGGCGTTCAGTTGTGATAATAGGCCGACACCTTGACGTGTCCATTTCGGAGGCCTGTGCCGTTAGCCCCTTAATCAGAAGCATCCAATTTTAGTCGCTCATTTACAGAATCTTGATAACATCGTCAGTGGACCTGAACACAGAACCAAAATATTGGACAATTTTGATACTGCACTTAAATTAGCCTTGAATCTCATGCGTTCATCCTTCAAGGACAAAGCGACCGGAATATATGAGACTATGCAAACTCCATGTACAACGATGAAAACTGAGGCAGAAGTGAAGTAATGGACGCTGACCTTTGGCGAGGAACGGAATGTGTTGTACTGAGGCGAGCAGATTTATGGGATATGTGAGGAAGAATATAATGCGAGCACCATTCTGATCACGATCTGGTATATTCTCTGATCATCTTCTTCCATGTTGAGGAACTGCGGAGTTTGTGCGTGACTGCCTGACGTTATGATCACTGGTGGATGATGGACAGAGGACAGGACAGTACAATACGACATCTGGTCAGGGTTGAAGTCCGCCTGTATTACTGCTTCCGCGCTCGAGACCATTACAGCAGTTGTCATTCCTCGCAGGTCCTGGAGAGTGAAAGGTGCAGAATGTGACGACAGTGATTACAAAAGGAAATTGCTGCCGTCTTTTCTGGGAAACTGTTTCGGACGATAGCTGGGCATTGATTCGCAAAATGGGTGTATGATCGGTATGTATGGTGCAGGTAATAAGGAAGACCATGAACAGGCAGAGGGTTCTCCAAGAGCCTTTCTTTCGGGATTAGGCTGGCACATTTCCGAGCTAAATATCCTGTTCGACTGTGAACATGAGCTTGTAGCAGGCTAGCCTCTGTTCACTCTTCACCTCATTCTGTTCTATCGGCGGTGAATCTCAGTAGCTTTTACAGTGGGGTCAGGCTTTAGATCTCTTTCTGCGGCTTGCAGTACTGTGTACCTCGTCATTTAGCACTGAACCATGACTTTTTGATTTCTCGGGACTTGCTTAGGCTTTTGAGGTTCTGGACGTATACAGTCTTAGAGTATGTAGCTGGCAGATGGTCTGACGTTGTTCTCTTGTGCTCCTTTTCACTTTTTATGCTCGTTTTCGCCGCGCTCTCGGTAATTATTGCTCTCGATGTTTGTTTGAGAGTTCCAGATAGTGTCTGTCCGATTTCAACATCCCTTTGTACAGTTACTTCCTTTCGAAATCGATGAAAACGTATTGCTGCACGTCACAGGCTGGAGGCCAAAATAAAGTCATAATCATAAAATTTGATCACGTACATCCAGCAGCTCCGAACGTGTCGTGTTGCTCCTTGTAGACTATGGGCAGGCAGCCAAGAGAACAAGCGAAAGAACACCAGGGGAGAAGTTTTTAAAACTCCACCATTCGGAAACTTTGAACGAAGCTCATCTCACTCACACTATGGAATCCACGACGAGGATAGGAATCAACATCATGCCAAACAATTCGACTAAAACTTTGTCAGTGGGCAGGTTGTGGAGTACCCTGAGGAGAGAGACCCGGCTTGTGACATGAGGACAGAAAGAACGAGAGATCTTACCAGCTCTTATCAAATCTAATTTCGAGTATAGTATACAAAGAGTGCCATCTTGCTCCCTCCTCATCACAACAGCTCCACGACTTCTTACTCTATGCCATGAGACGCTGGTCACAAGACAACACGTGGGTTTCCCTTCAGCATCGTCCCGGTTCACACTAAGAACTCGTGAACCTTTTATCTTCTTCTTTTTTATTTCTGCTCGCAGTATAAACCTTTATACAAAAAGTATACAAAAAGTTGAACATAAATCTAACACTCACATTTGGACCTCCTATCTTCCGGCCTTGATCGTACACTATGACGAAGTGTGAAGATGCTAGCAAAGCCAGTATTTGTACCACAGATGGGAACGGCGTGTTTTTTTCGTAGGTACAATCTTGGACAACTTACGGCCTGGTTGAGGCTTTGAAAGATGGCAACGTGAAGAGAGCTTGACCTGGGACGGGACTGGAATCGATGGGTGCAAATCTGGGACATTAATGGCGTAGTCTCTGGAAAGCGCAGGATGGGATCATGATTTCGACCGTGGAACACGCTGCGTTGACCCAGAGCTTCTTTCAAGCTCTTGTGCTTCTGATAACAAGAGCGTACCTTTCCTTTCGGTTGTTGTTTCAGAGTAGTCTTGCTCTGAGGCCTTTTCGTTTTTTCCCCGGAGGTCTGGACTTTTTACAGCTCCTCTCGTCGACGGCTGCTTCTCACAACGAGCTTGTGACACAAAAGTGAAAGGCTTTATTCCCTCGACCCCGAGAAGGCGGAGGAGCTGCAAACTACCCCGACAACAGTGCTCCAACAATCTTTGTCTTCGAGATATTGGTTCATGAGCAAAGCTCATCCAGCACGTTATACTTCACCACCACGAGGTACGGTACTTCAGACATCCTGATTTAGAGACGTGCACTGGAAGCGATTCTAATTTCAGCAAGATTGGTCGCGTGTTTCGTGACGTCAAGCCACTGAATCGCCGCAAGCAATTCCTCCATCAATCTGATCTCCGCTTACGACACTGCCAAAGTGAGGAAACCGCTGTTATGGTTCCAATCAGGTCCAACTACTCCTGGAGAGGCCGGTCAGTCTAGCTCAGATACTCAGGCCGTCAAATTGCAATAATAGTGTTGTTAGCGAGACATCTCGGGAGAGAAAATCTGTGAAACGGGATTTCACAATCGGACAAGATTCCGATCCTGGCAGGAATTGAATCGCATCACTTTACATCACATCGCCAGATTCAGCAGCCAGTCACAAGGACCTCATCGCTGGTAAAGTTGCCTCCAAGTCGAAGGAAAATCGGCTTGATGCAATCCGCTGGGCACCCAAGCGCTGTGATCTAATGATTGGACACCGGCTGCCACGTACTTTAACAGTACCGATGTTCGGGATGTCCGATGAGGAGCCCAGGGAGCCATACAGCACAGCGGCAGCAATGTCTCGGTGCAGAGTGCCTTTCCTCTAGGCGATCCTCCCGGCGATCCCGTGGAGCAGCAACTTCGTGCTGCCTTGCAATTGCGCCAAGATGCGTGCAATGCCATGCATGTGCTGCGACAAGCTTTCGCTGGCCTCTATCGCACGTCGGATAGCGAAGTCGTGACACAGTCCGGACACTGGAGGTACAAGGACGGGAGGGAGGGAGGGGGGAACTTTGGTTACAGAGATTTTCAACAGCACTGACCTCCCTGTCGATCTCTTGCGTGTGAACTGCTCCAGAATCTTCCGAATTCGTCTGGACCCCGGGGAGAAACTACTATCTCGCGGGGGATCACTGGTTTGAAGTATACGTCGGTCAAATGCAGCAGGTCTCTTCCCCATATGAGATCTGCCTGAGAATCTTCGAGGATCCTGAACTATGTAAACTTTGAGAAAAAGTGCACCATCTCGATTGACATATTCTGTCCCAAGTCGAGAATGTTCACTGTAAATTCTCTGCTGAAAATGTCCACAACTGTATCATACGAGTGTAACAGAAGATGTACCCGCAATGTCTACTGGATTTGGCTGGACTGTAATTCTCTTTCTCTCGTGTCGTGGTTTGTAGGGGAGTGTCAATACATGACTGAAATGCGAAACTTCGACTTCGACTTCGACCAGGAGCTTGTATGGTATCGATCAGAACAATCTCTCCGAATCAAATGTACGGGGATTAAAAGGACGAGTCGTGGAGAGGATGATTGTAAGTCAGATGCGAGGAGTCCCGTTCTCCCTAGTGAGCTGTAACTGAACAAGACAGTGTCTCCGATCACGAAGCAGCCCTGCAGAGATCGGATCAATGATTGAATAAGTTTGCCAAAGAAGGTTTTGGGTGGATTAAGAAGACTTATTCTTGCTGATAATTTTACAGTTGATGACGGAATGTATCGTTTCGATAGAAGGTCTTGAAGAGAGCTTTGTTGGAGCACTGACCAGGTACTAATTGTTTTCAACCCTTCTAAACACCGCATGAAGCTAGGATGCTCTTACGTGCGATTGTTTGGTCTTCCAACAAGTCTTGCAATTCGTTTCTGAACAATGTTTTAATCTTGTAATATATAACCTTCTGAAAATTAGTCTCGGAAATTCGTATGGAAAAGACTTTAGATACTAAATTTCTTATAAGAGAGATAGATCAAGTGTATCAAACGTGAAATGAAAAATGCGAATGAGATGTTAAGATAGACTTATAAACAACAATATGCTTTATATGTTCATCAAATTATCATACACATGAATAATTAAACTATTTACTAAAATGTGTCACATATTTATAGCATTTATTTCATTCCATGCACATCATTACTCAGTTTTTTTTTCTTCTTTTACTATACCCTACAACGATCCTTGTGTATCAAATTTTCGTAGTAAAGATTTCTTGTTCTTTTATATACATAATCTATTAGGAGTTGTGGTCCAAGTTTTTGATTATTATATTGTAGATGTTACGGATCTCATTCTTGTTTCTTTATGTGTAAATTTGATCATTCACTTTTTACTTTTTTTATCTAATTGGATTCTAATTTTGGATAAAAACGTGCTTAATTTAATTTAATTCTTAATTTAATTTAAATTTCTTGATGGAGTATTCCAAATCTGATGGAATATTCTACCAAATTTAGTAATCAAGAATCAAATGAAGACTAACCATACTTAAAACTTAAATTGTTAAAAAGCTAATCGAGTAAGCTATTAATCATTAGTTCAAATTTATGAGCATGGATAAGAGCTTTGTGTTCATTAGATATGATCTCGATCTTATCAAATGAATAATAATGCTTAATTCAAAAAGCATATTACAAAATCTTTTGTATAAATATGCTGCACACAACTTGATGAATTCATGTGGTAGCATTAGAGAAATAGAACTAAAATCAATCTTGAATCTTGTTTCTATCTTGGTAAACATAAATTTTATGAATCCTATAGCACGCAATGATGTAAACAAGAGCGATGTTGTGTTGACGATCATTTAGATCACTTTCAATGACATTGTTAAATAAGGTTTTAATCCAAAAAGCCAGAATTATTTTGTATTATATTGGCGGACAAATTTTCTAATAATATGGAAAACCACCATTAATAACTTTTTAAAATTGGAAAGTGTTTTATAAGCAACAAGGGGTGGGGCGAAGTCAAAGACCGTCGCATTGGATACATGAAAAATTCTTGAACTTTGGACAAAATGACCCGCATAATGACCAACTATGATGTGAATAGCACAAAAAACGAAAGTTGTTTTAAAAGTGAAATGATGCATAGAAGGAAGTGCAACCCATCAAAGTCGAGGTGAAGCGAAAGTTGACTGCTTTGATTTAGTGTAAACAAAAGACTGTATTCGACAGATAGAAGGAAGTGCAACCCATCAAAGTCGAGGTGCAGCGAAAGCTGACTGCTTTGATTTAGTGTAAACAAAAGACTGTATTCGACAGATTTTGAATCAAATGATGATTTTTGTTTGTCCAAAACTAATAATTAACAACAAAATGACATGTAGTTTGCATTTTCGCAATCAAATTATGCTGCCGCGTCATGTGAGTGATAAATCCAATCATCACTAAAAAAATTTATTCTTTGATAACATTTTTCATTATACACTTCATAACAAGATCTAGTTGATGTGCTCTGTACCAAATCCGAATCAATGAATAATCCTTGTGCATTACATGAGTAATGCGAGTGATAGCCTCATTAATCTGTCTTGTCGTGTTGCGGACTCTGTCAATCATCAAATCAAGAATACGATTTGTTCAATTTGAACAAAGCACTGTCAAAAACTTGCTCACCATTGTGAACATAATATCACTTGTATGACGATCAAACATTGGAAGTGCATAATCATTCAAGTTAACAATCAAATGATAGTTGTGAATGAAGATCCGGAAGCGTTTATAAAGAAATGAAGTGGTATGAAGTGTTGTCAAATCAAGTGCTAACAAAAATGTGCATGAACGTTGAAGAAAGTTCACAATTTTTTACAAATTGGTAGCACAAATATTTTGAACAAAGTTAATAATTTCGTAACGAAAATAAATATGTAAAACAAGATTGTCCAAAACATCATATGTGCGACTGATAAGTTTGGATGTTCTATGAAATGATGTCTCCTATGACACATAACGCATAGCCAGGCAAAACAACGTTGTTTTTCTCTTAGCAATTGTCACTATGTAAAAATAATCCTTAGTAACATACATAGATTCAACATGATGGAACAATGATAATGTGCATTTTTCTGATTTGGTTGCTGCTTGTCGACGTTGAACTAGTTGAGAATCATTTTTAACCATAGTGTTAATCAAATGTTTCTCTTCTTCTTCATCTCTACATCAATTTCTTCTTGATCTTCAAAATTGAACATCATACTTTTGACAATGAAATCTATAGTATATTGTTTGATTTCATATACAACATCTCTTTCATCTTTCAAAAAAGATGAGAATTGGAATCTGAGTGAATTTTTAAATGCAATTGATCCGACCTCAAAAATAAAATACAATCTGAAGTTAATTCTTAGCTCTAATACACCGTACATTGTTTACTATGTTGGCTACAAAAATGATCTTCAATATTATCGTAGCAATAGTAAAATTTTCATACTGGATCAAAAGATGACATTTTCCGTTTTGAATTTGGCTTTTTCTCCCGACCAAATGTAATGCAAAACCGACATTGCACATCCATCAAATTTGACGATTTTGGATCTCGAACCACAACTTTCAATCTCAACTTATTATCATGTTCTTTTATGTATGCAGACGAACGTTTTTTTCTCCTAGTAGAAAAATATTTAGTTTAAGCGAATGTCCAAGTGCAGCACACAGTTAACTTGAGGTTTGCACTTGTACTCTATATCGTTTCAGCAACACAAAACTTTTTGTATATACAATTTTCAAAGAAAATTAAGGAAAAAATATTAACAATACAATTTTAGTAACTGTAATTATTTCTATTTTATAATGACCAGAAATTTAGCAATAAATCTACAATAACTACTTTTTTTTCATTGTGACAAAATATATTATGAATATATTTTTATATTATTTCCATTTATAGATTATTCTAGGGACTAAAAACCATGTGACGGATTAATGAGTTGACAATCAACAACATAAAGTAACACAATAAGTCCCAGATGCATCTAGACTTGAACTAGAAGAAAAGAAATCAATTCGCCCAACATACATAGAAGTAGAAAGAATAACTCCTCTTGAAGTTAAACCAAGTTGTTTGATTGAGTATTAGGGCCGTGAATTTTGCATCAATGATCATGAACTGTTCGTTGTGCTCGTCTACAAGATATGTTCCATTGTGTTTTGAAGTTATTCACTCTTGATGATTTGCACACGTTCACGTGACATCCATCAATACGATTCCAACAAATTTCAATAATAGAACAACAAAGATTCAGATAAAGTGTGTGAATCTCAGCTTTTCTCGTAGAAGCTGAGAATAGCACACAAAAAGACTCTAATTTGACTTCATAGATTAAAGTTGTGTGTATTGTAGCAGTTTTGTTCAATGAAACATCTTTTTGAATAGTTTTACATTAAGCCCAACAAATTCAGTTGCAAGGCACGAGTCTCCATGAACATAACATCAAATTTCAGAATTAAAGAGAATTTGCAAACGCTAGCTAATTGTAGGACCGAAGCTCGGAATGCTTCTATCAACTTTCTACAAAGGCGATTATAGCAAATTTCACCTTTGTGCGAGTGAGTAATTTCCACAAACAGTACTGACATGAGTGCACGTCGTAACAAATGGAGAGTTAAATACATCTGACTTGAATTAGAAAATAAAGAAATCAATTCGTCCAACATACATAGAAATAATAATAAACAAAGAATTAGATTCTCCACAATTCATGTTGATTGACTTGTACTCAAATCCAACTTTTACTTCAAAACAGTGAGTCAACATTGCAAAATCTGAAATAACAAGAGCAAGAGTTGTGGTACAACATTTTACTACTCCAAAAGAGATCAATGAGAATAGTTGAAAAAGATAGATGAGAATTGATGTATGTATAAGTCAAGACTGCGACTTTGAATCAAAGATAATTTACAATTTTGATTTATTTATGACTAAACATCTTCTTTCCATTTCTTGCTGCATCTACATCAATTTAGATGCCAAAATCTCATCCACATTAATTTAGACGTCAAAACGTGCAATTGTTTTGGTAATTTAGGCACCGTCTAATACTATCATGCCGTACATAGAGGTTCATAATATTTGTCATAAATATCAAGAATTATGATGTAAAAATTTCATATTTTTTTGGCTATAAATCATTCAATTTTAATTACAACATCAAATAATAAGATCCACATTTTATTATTTAATATTTTCAAAATATATAACTATCATAATTATCAATGATTTTTATTATTGTCACATGTAAGTTTACTTTTTATGAATACAAAATAGTAAATTTTTTGTATTCTTATTATTATCAATTTAATGTAAACTTTTATAAAATATGATGGAAAAATAGATCAAGTGTATATGTATGTGTATATATATATATATATATATGGCAACATCATCATATCGTATAATATAACATATTTTTATCTTAATGAAGCTCATCAAAATGTATGACTCTGTATAGATTAATTAACCTATCATTACTTCATATAGATTTATAATACTAATTCTTTTAAACTCAAAATTTAAAGATTGATTTGAATGAAAATTTTCATATAATATTATGATATCTTTAAATATGATAATTTAAGATGTTATTTATCTGAAATTTTGATAGAGTACATCAGTGAATGTGTATTAAACTATGAAAGTTGTATTGATACTTCTCAAAATAAATGTAACATAATTGAACATGATATCATGGAGATTCATTTATCAGACTAATGAAATTTGTATCAATTATAAAATATGAAAAATATATTATAAGTTAAACAGTCCGTATTTTTTGTGTTCATCCTAACGTATGAAGATGATTCTTCAATTTTCAAAGTTAAAGTATATGCTACTGCAAAATTGAAATTTTCAGGTAATATTGATATTTACTCAGAAATTTATGAACAGTCTTTTCTATGTAGCACTTGCTTTAACTTTTATTATTCAAGACTATATCGTTTTAAATTGTATTTGTAATTTATTATATCTGATATATTAGGATTAATTTTCAAATTTTGAATAGACATTTTGTTCACAAATTCATAAGCTAATAATTTTGTATGTGGAAATCATGATTTTATATTTTAAGAATCATGAATGTCACATAAAAAGCTTTAAAATGTTTTTCATGACATTGTGAAGCATATAGTTCATAATTGACAAACAAAAGAAAATCCATTTGTAGTTTAGATGTATATTTCTACAAATAATTATAAACTTGATTTAAGTATGTTTGAGCTTTTTTTGAAATATAAATAAAAACTATTTATGTTTTGTTTGAAGTTTTAAGAGAAATATAAACATGTAAACATTCCACACAAAGAAGAATAAATTTAATAATACAGTATCAAACTTATTGTCTCTATCATTTTCAACCTACAAAATTTACATCTCAAATGAATATCAAATTTTTTTCAAAGTTTAAAAGATATATCAAATATAAATATTTAAATATAAAAAATATTATAAATTTAGAAAATTCATTAAAAATTATAATAAGGAAATATTTATTCAATTAAAGCCTATAAATTGTGATATTATTTAATCTAAATTGAATTTAAGTTATGAAAATTAGACTGTAATTTGTACATTTGTTAACTTAAGTTGGAAAAAAAATTGCAAATTTTTTGTATTAAATTTGAAACAAAAATCATTTGGTTCATTTATCTATATGTAGAACATATTCTTTATGCTAACATCTTTGATACTTATCAAATTATAATCAATTTATATTTTCTACATGTTAGCTCTTAACAACAATGTTAGAACTTAACCGAGAATCACAATTTGTAAGACATGCAAATCAAGCAACTGTACAACATAAATCTAACATTACACACAAAATGTCAAGTCATTTATGTAATGTGGTTCATCCTTCGGAGAGCTGAGCATGCGTTTGATTAACTGTAACAGTATTAATTGTACATAGTTTCATGAATTTAAATACCACAGGGACATCGGCGTTTCGTAGCTAAACTTAGCTAAGATCGAGGGAACTCCTTAACATGAGCTAACCTCAACACTACATTTATATGGCAGAGCAAAGTAAAATGATATATATGTAAGACCATACTTATTAATAAAAAAATATGATCACATAGGATGTTTGATTTAGCAAAATTCAAACTAATCATGAGAGGATTAATGGAGATGAAAAATCATGCACCATGTCTCTAATACTGCAGCGTAAAACATGTTACTCAATAACTATTCTAATTGTTCAAGTAAGAAGATCTTTATGAATCATGAACTTTCAATGACATATGAAGCAACACACATGTTCATCAATGCACATGATCTGCTAATTAGTTTTGTATAAGAGAGATTTGCTTGATGGGACCCTTCAGGTTTCATTTTACCCTATGGGACCCCATGAAGGATGCACCGTCACCCATGTTCTAATAACAACTAGAGAGAGTGCAACGAGTCCACCGCACCCGCAGACAGAGTGGACTTCGCACTCCATCACACTCACTTGTTTTTATGTTGTCATTCTGTATCCGGCCACTCTCCAAGGAGACGAGCAAAGAAATGTTCATCCGGAGTTTATTTGTTCGCCACAAATGGGTGATCGTGAGACTTGAGCTCGGACCACGCAGGGTTACAGAAGTAGTGTGCAGGTGGGAGGCAACAGAGAAACCCGCAAATCTTTGCGATCGAAAGAATTGAAGCACAACAAATTGCACTTGGAGCAAAATCGATATTTGTCCCCGTGATAATCCACCAGAAATTATAATCAGGGATTGATCTCTGATTGTAATTCCCGCATTGTAACTAGTAGTAATCGTAGTTACAAGAACTATGTCCAACGGCACACCGTCATTGGGGTCCCATCGAGTAAAACTAAATCTGAGGGGTCCTATCAAGCAAATTACTTTACGCAGGGGTACCATCAAGCAAATCTCTCTTTTGTATAATGTTGGATCATGTTTCCTAAATTCATATGCATAAAGTATCATATTTAAAACATAAAATTAAAATTTGATGTCTTAATGAGGATTATACATCAATGATGTTTCTAAAAATATGTAAATTTCAATCTTTCAAGTAATATTTTTATGCATTTTTTTATCAATACGTTTTGCATCATATATAAAAAATTTCTTATTTTTGTGTATATAATAATTGTGATCTAAATCACAATACAAACCTTATCAAATTTCAAAAAAGATTGATCCTAAATACACATATTAAAAATATTGAGTTAAACATACTGACAAATAAGCATTAATACAAAAATATTTCCAATTTTTTTTTCTAACTAAATCAAGTGAAAATCAAGTGATTTGTGTCATAAACTTCAACTTGTATAATGGTTCCAACTTTGATAATGGGTTTTTTTTCGTTCATTTTATGCAATGTAGTGATGCACATTTCATTTGTGCCTCAAACTTCAACTTGGGGAACGGATCCAAAAAGAACAAGTGAAATAGTGGTTTTGATATATTCAAATGGTTGTCTTATCTGTGACAGTAAATGCAACACAAAAGATTACATGTACACAAACAGAGAATCCACGTCAGCAAAAACATATGCGGTTTATCATTTTTGGTCTATGTTCACAAGAACAACAAGATCTTTGCTTAAAACCTTCAAAGTGTCAAGTGTGAGATGTGGCTCGCCCTACTATTTATACAACATAATAGAAACCCTAGATCTAACCTTAACTTTATGACAAGTTAAATTAACTAGAGTTTATTTTAATCTATAATATTTAAATTTATTATAGACGTGATGCAATTATTTAGCTAAAGCAATACAACCAATGACAACTCTACATTTTTCTGTTCTTTTTCAATTACCTATAAAGTTTTAAGCATTGTATAAATAGATCTAACGCCTATTTACTTCATTCAAACGCTAAACTTTTCATATGACTAATAATTGTCAAATTATTAGCCATATACATTTGTCTTATGATCATGAAAATGGTTTCCAATATTGGTAGTAACCTTAGTGAGCGTATCAACGATGAAAGCTATTGCTAGATATTGTTGAGAAAAAAATCTCATCACTTTAGATGTGAACATAACTGATGCAATGACTCTATTTGTATTTGTTGTGGGGCTATTTGAGGCGATTAGTAAAAGAAAATAGAAGGTACTGTTGGCTGGTAGGGATGAAGAGAATGGATAAAATATTCAAATTGTCTTGTGGTCGAAAGCAAGGGATGAAGTGGATCTCAGCTGCAAAGATAAAATCACATTCGGATCTGCAAAGAAAATTCAAAGTTCTTCACCAGGTACTCCTCTACCGACGAGATTCTCGAAGTTTCAGAGGGAAAGGGTGTGAGCACATTCGTTCAGGAGTTGTTAAGAATGTAATGTGAGTATCATAAGCTAGTGGCAGTGGAAATTTGCCAACAGAATTTCTGTTTCTTCAGCAGAATGTTATTTAGTGTAAAACCGGATCCCAAAACTCCTATGTAATAATTAGTGTGATTGGCTGACTGAAAAGAATATACTCGTGAATACAGCGATGTAATTTGCTAGCAGTACTTGCTTCTCACTAGACTAAACATATTTGATATATTTACATGTTCACGAAGGCACCTGCTTAATGCTATTCGTTTCATTTGATTTACACCAGGGTAGGTTATCCAAACCATTTCAATCCGTTGTTTTCATTCGACCAAGCGTATGCACTGGACATGCCAATTCGATCGATTCCTTGCCTTGCCTTGCTACATCCAGTTTATATCAACAAGTACTGGTCACTTCTGTAATTTCTGAAGTCCCTTTTTATCCTTTCTGTTCGAAGTTTCGTCGACTCGTTACTTGGGACAAGTTCGAGCATCTGAGAGACTCAACAGATGACAAGCACCGATGCACGGGCCGAGACGTCGTTTAGATGTTCCGCCCTGGAATTTCGAAAGTGACATCGTGGATTTCGAACCTGGTTGAGAAGGCCCGCAGTTGGGAAATGGAGATGGAGAGGGCCTAGATCGACGGGCCCGTTCATGATGGGAAACGTGGTTCATTCAGACTCGGAATCCATCGTCCATGCTTCCTAGAGTTACACGGTTACAAGGAAGAAAGACATACCGATGAAAGGCGAACCCAGTTCGGTTTGTGGTTGTTGTGATTGATCTTCCCATAATACTTCTGCAGTTGACATTGCGGCGATCTCCGTTCGGTATAGTTCTGAAACCTCCTAATGAACCTTTGGCTACACGGAAACAAACGAAGTGCCATAACCATGATCTTCCAGCTCAGGGAGTGACGAGGGACTCGGCAGCCTCCAAACAAGTGGGTCGGTGCAGGAGATGGAATGCTTTGAAATATGCTCAAAATGAGATCGAAATATGAACCGAGAGATTCTTGGTCTTTAGGGAGCGAAGTTTCTTGATTATAGTTCAGGACTAGCAATATAGCCAGAGCAGCCCCTGGAGGGCAGGGGATGGATTCTGTAAAAGCCGATGTCTCCATTCTCGTTCAGACCATTTTTCACCTCTAAAACGCCTCCAGATGAAGGTGTCAGCTGTACACTGGAAAATGGCACAAAATGTAAGAATGATCTGAGCTCCGAGGCTTCTTCTGAACTCTTCCAATTCTTAGCAGTCTTCTTTCACACTGCTTTTTCTCTTGGCGCGGTTGTTCAGAGATGTTGTGTTGTGGCTATTTTTCTTCGGATTTCCTTGCTGGAAGAGTTGAAGTCAAAGCTTTTGCTTTAGGTTCGTAGTCCCAGGAGTAGAAATAATTCTGTTATCACTTGATCGACTATCGACAGTCTGATCATCAGCTTGGAGAGCTTTGAATTTCTGAACTGTTGCAACACGTGCAGATACTTTCCTCGTCTCTCTCTCTTCCTTTCCTGAAACTTCCGTCAAGGAGATGAGGAGAACTCGACTCATACCTGATCTGTCTTTTGGGCTTGAGGACTTGGAAATCACGCGGCAGCCATGACACTCAACTTTGATAGCTGGCTGACCATACGGGGTTTGAGAGAACGAGGAAAAGGAGTGCCATGAATTCCGCTCATGGCAATGTCGGATGGCGAAAACAATGATGGACATCATTTTTCTCAGACATTCGGATCTCGAGTTTGACATTAAGAGGAGGCAGCAGGTCTGCTGGCAAACTCTAGTGAAAAGGTGAAACTAGTATGTCGAAGTGAGCTCAGACCGGTACTTTGTGTTGTACCCTTTAGTCCAGCGTCAGAAGCCGGATGGATTGGACATGCAAAGAGGCACATAAATAAGCAAAAGGAATGGCGAGGCGAAGCTTACGATTCATGACGCTTCATGGTCAGGTGTGTCAGACTGAACTCACCTTTAGCGCTGCGGAGCCTGATCGCAACAAATGCAGACATTGAATTCTCAAACTTCGGAGAACCTCCAACCACAAAGTTGGACGAGAGTTCCGAAGTGCTTCACCATCCAGAACGTCCAGAGTTTCTCCCTCGTGCCCATGTCAGCCGACGTAATAGGAGCCATACCTTCTCATAGGAGTTGGATAAACAGTTTGTGCAGACACGATGTGATAAGATCCGAGAACTTCCGAAACATGCATTAAACATTTAAATCCCCTCCCTTGGGGCGTCAGAAAGTTGCCATCGATGGGGCAGCATGGGAAGCGGATATTGCAAGGGTTTGTCCCTTCTGCTGTGGCAAGGACCCACGTCAGCTGGTGTATGGCATACCAACTTCCCTTTACTGATTTTAGTTCACAGTCAATGCGGACCTCGAGTAAACAGACGATTCGACGAGACAGACTGAAGTTCTGAACCGCATGCATGTTAAATAAAGGCCAGTCAGAAAAAAGTTGAAATGGATCGGCCGTTTTCGTTCATCATGTTGCCAAGCTTTCCCTTCATTTTCGAACACCGGGGGTTTAGTGAGGTCGTAACGAACCATACTCCGATGAGGTAGATAAACAGGTCATGCAGAGATTAATGATGGTGTTTTGGGCTGAGCGGAGGCTTAGAAAATATCTTCGACCCGCAGAGTCGGAGGTAAACTCGATTTTAATATGATGCACAGGATTCCCGTCGTGCTTACGGACGGGTCAGCAAGTTCGGTGCCAACCATGCGCTTTCGAGGTAGATAAACGGGTTGATCAGTGAGAGATTTATTATTGATGGAAGTTTGGGCGACCTAGGGCCTGTCAAAATATCTTCCAGACAGGCGTTAAGCGAGCAGAGAAGGATTTATGGAGCTAGATTTTGCAAGGTTTCTCGGTCAAGTTTTAAGTGCCCCATTCGAGACATTTTGGTCGGAGTCAGATGAAACGGTTTCCTTCTTTTTTAAGGTTATTCTTATAAATTGGGGGAATTTTATGAAGAGTCAGATAAATTGATTCTGAGAGGATCAGCCAGGACCTGATGCATATGCATGTCAAATTTCCTCCAGGGGATTTGACATAGGAAGATTTAGGTTCACTGACTGAACCTGTAGCCAAATTTTCTCTTCACGTTGTGACTCGTGAGTATCCTAGGTGCAGATGTCAGGCTCAACATTCTCTTTCGAAAACTATAACCAGTTTGTGTACGTTGTCTTGTGTACAGTTTGGCAGATGTTAACTACAAACAGCATGAGATGCATGTGAAAAGAGCTTTCCAGACAGTAGGAGATTGAGAAACTGATGAAAACCTGAATGCTGTGAAATCTGTCCGTTACAGAGCCGCATGCACACAATTACAAGACATGAGACAGATATTCTGCATTCAGCTAGCTGACATTAAACGCGGAACCGAAAGCATTTGAAAACGGTTTCCAGACAGAAAGTAGGACACTGAGGTAATATGACGAAATGCTTGTAGCAATGTTTGCCAGTTATGAAGCCATGCATTTGGTCCAGAACCGTTCACCGATTATTCTGTGTCAAGTTGGATAAACGGATCTTGGAGACTAATGATGGTGCCATTTGAGACCAAACTGAATGCATGGCAAAAACATTCCAACCATAAAGCAGCAGATTGCTGAAGTGTTGTGGCGCAAAGTTTCTTTCTCAAGTGACTTTGTGAGTGAAGCAGATGTGATATCAAAACGTTGTCTCGCGTCTGCCTGCTCTGAGGACACGTATCTACTTCTGAAACACGACGATATATGGATGGCAATTCGGTTCTGAGTTTTTCTAGGCTCTTGCCTTTGGAATTCCGTGGAACAATCTCAAGTAGGTCCGGTCTACAGCTCTTCTGGTGTTTATGAATATAAGCAGCAAGAGCACGAAAAAGAGCGAAATACTTTTGCTCTGTCGCTGGCCTGAATCCTCCATTTACTAACCCCAACCACCTGTATCAAGTCTGACAAGCTGTAGATCTACAAACCATATATACATACTTGACACCTTATCAACTGTAGTTTCAGCTCAAAGCCCCGTCTGAAACTTGTCACGCAGTGACAGTATGTGGAAGGATACTTGTAGTTGGATACAGACTTGGCTTCTTTCTAATGGGATGTGATGACAAACATTCTGATTTGAGCCAGATCCATGAGATTATATATTTATATCCTGTGAGGTCAGGTTAGAAAGCACGATGACATCCTGGATGCTTAAAAAAAATGGGATATACATGAAAATGAGGCTCTGCTCTAAGACTTGACAATTGAGATCTGACTTTTCCATGCGTACGTAGACGTAGGAGCTCACAAGCCGAGGGCAGAAACGCTATACATACGATCCATTGCAATATTGACTATCATGCTCGACAACGAGCTGCAATCTGTCAGTTTTCTGGTGCTCTTGAGTGAGCAGCACGAGCGTGAAATGAGTAAGTATCCAATGATCCTTCACTCACCAAAACCAACTGAACCCACATGTGAGAAGCCATGAACCTTTACAAAAGGCTAGATGACGAATCGATAGTTGTTGTATGAGCCGGCCTGGATTCAATTCGTACAGTAGTTAAAGCAATTTCTTGCACGATTCTTGTGCAGGGTAGAGCTTCATTCCGTGCCATAAAAATGGCTGCAGAGCTTATGAGCACTCTGAAAGATGTCTGCAGACATTCTAGACAACCATTTTCTCATCGGATGATTGCGTTCGTGTAGAATGCAAAAAGCAAAGCGGTCTATAGGTTGTAAACGGATCATGTTCTTTCGTTCATTTCATGCAAGTCTACAATCATATACATTTAAGCTCGGCAAAGTTTGTGTACATGTCATGAAGAAGGCAGTTCTGTAAATAAAGTGCACCCTTTGAAGAATATATCTCCATCTTTCTGCTTGGCACCCGCTGCCATGGTTGGCCAGGAAGCAAAGAAATTCACAATCATTCAAGCAGAAATGGAACCTAAATCAATCGGAGTCCAAGGTCCACACGGGACACCAGACAAAGACCATCTAAAAGCAAGAAAAAAGGAAGAAGAGACCGAAAGCTGAAAACGAAGCTCCGTGAAGGACCACAGGAAAGAGAATCGACACTTTCTCTGGCAACTTCCGCCCAAAAAGCAATGCCTGGCAGAGCGTAGTGTAAATGAATCGCTTTTGCAGTCCACAAGCACTCCATGTGGTCCATTTCACTAAATATAACAACGACCTCTGGAGCCTTGAAAGTCACATTTGAGCGCTCTCGAACGAAATGAAAGAGACAGAGCTGGAGGGAGCAAACCCTAAACCCTTGGATCCTCGTGTGTGGACATCCAATTGTGCCAGCCAACTTTTCCAGGAATGTCGCCCTCATCGGTTCAGTGTGTGGAAAGGACTCGGATTCGCCATGCAGGGCGGATAACGCAGACTTGCTGAACGTCTGGCTGTCTCACCATCACAACCGATCTTCCTCGTGCACGAATGGCGTGCATCAGAAAGACGGCTTTCAGAAGCATCTCGCTGGCATATTCGCATTTTTGGCATACTCTTGGCAGCGAGTAGAAGTTCCATTTCCTAATCATCTCGATCTGCTGAGTGCTGGAGTGTGCAGAAATGACTTGTTCCTACGTCAGTGAAGAATGCTTAGGGTGAACGGTCGATTTCTTTATTACAAGATTTTGCATTTCAAGCCAGGATTAGAGTATAACCCAAATCAGGTGAAAAAGTATGGTTCCAGGGGTTTCCTTCGTGTGTATATACATTTGAGTACCCTGTTCTTCCCGCAAGTACTGTACTCTATCTTTCTTCCTTTTGGTTGTGTAATAATTGCGTTCATGAACATTCCCACCAAACTTATCTCAACTCATGCATCCGATAGACTGCGTACAGTATTCTACTGCATACTACTCTCTCATCATTTTTCTTTCTGTCAGTTCTGACCATGCATGTGCATCCTACCCTTATTCGAAGAGAATAGTCTGAATTCTGGTTCTCCATATGTGATGTTAACGAGAGATTTGATCAGCTGCAGCTTCTTCGTCTGGTTACCTGACTGATCGTTCTCGGCCCCTTGATTAAGAATCGGTTATGCGAGGTGGATTGGGACACACAACTTGTGGAATTGAATGCCATAGACACCACTGATGCGTATTTAGAATGCTGATCGTGTGAGAAGTCGCAGATTCTGTACTTCAGAAACAAGTGGTGTAACCCTCCATTACAGCTTCAGGATTTCCTTGGACTGTCACAGATTTCGAGGTACCGAATAAAGTACACCGGCCGTGAATTGTAGCCGGAACTCTGTCCATCCTTCAGGTCCTCTGATCAAGATCTTACACATATCAACCTTTCCCCTAATGTTCTGCATTCAGAGTAACACGATGACAAGAGCAAAACTTGTCATCAACAAACATCAAGATCTGAACATCGTGTTGTTTCCTTTCTAAGGCGCTTTACGATCAACTTTTGTGAAGCTCCAACTTTTGTGAAGCTCACATTACTCTACGAAGAATCTGGTAACGCGTGCAATCATAATCTTTTCATTCGGCATGGCAATCTCCGAGTGTGAGAGCGATCTCGAGGCCGCAGCTAGTGATTTTGCCTCCCGACCTACAAACCCCGGCACGTGAAGCGGCTCACTGCTCGTAAACGTGAAGTAGGCAAAGTACAACAAGACTACAACGTTGAAGTATTCTAAGATGCGAACGAAAAGTCCTCTATGCAGTGCTCATCATCATACTAAACTTCTTCACCAAAGTCCTCTGTCTAGAGCAATTCAACAAGTGAATGATTGTGCCTATATGCAATATTCCAGTTCCCATTACTGTGGTTTTCTCTCGAGGTGGAGAATGCTCGAAGCTCGTCGGACAGGGACAGTAGACACTTCTTCAGTGCCCTCTACTACCACAGTCTGCATGAGATAGGATCGTATATTGACCAGGTCTGAAGGAAGTCAACTCGAGATTCACCTCGATCTTTCGGCCAGGAGACGATGAACCTCCTGGAAGCGCAATGATGCTTCACGATCGACAGACCTTGGTAGCAGAATGTGATACGCTGAGTACAGATGAGAGCTCGTACGTATAAAGATCGACTGTGGATGAAACGATGTCTGACATTATTGACTGTATATTGTCAGCATCTACCACATTCCGATTCTTTCAGCAATAACAAACATCTGCAACAAGATAGATCAATTTCGCTGAGGTGCGAGATGATAGGTTAGAAGATTCAGGATAGGGTTGTAGACTGATGAACGTCAAAAATTTGACAGCTGAGCCTATCCGACCCGAGGTAGAAATGGCCTGCTTCCTTTTGACTGAGCTCATCAGGATGTTGCTACCATGACATTTGATTTAGCATCCTCACAAATGCTGCCTGACAAATAGGAGATGCATATGATAACTGGTGCGAGCAACAGCGTTGCAAAGGTAGCTAATTAATGAGCTTCGTGGTGCATTGTAGATGCCGACTTGATGGTGCTCCACCTACTGTCTGGACACAAAAGGAGACTCAATCCCATCTCTCGAGGCAGATGAATTCCAGCTACTGTCGTACTAGTTGACGATCAAATGTTGGACGGATAGTAATTGGGACTCGAGGACAGCTGCTACTAATCTACCAACGATATTCCTAAGTTTTATATTGCTTCTCCCTAACTTTGCATCCACCAACAGTCCTAGACGTCATGGCTTTGAGCAACATAGAGCTGTGTTCCTCACTTGTTCGATGTACGCTTGCAGCATGATTTAACTTGGCTTGATCGCGGAAAGTCCCAACCGAATCTTTGTTGTGCATTTTGTCACAAACATGTCGTGTTCATTGCATGTGGTCTTATGGCTCTGCAGTAATCGTAACCGCCCATAGGAGTTAGAGCTATCAAATCTGCATTCTGCAAGATCTCAGATACGCCATTCACGTTCCTTGACTTTCAGGACATTTTGGCATTGTTGTGTCGAAGACACTGGCAGGTCCAGGTCCAAATCTAGGACCAAGTTGCACAACATGCCAAGCGAGAAGTATGAGAGATGCTTTGACAAACAACACCGTTATTTGGAATATCTGAAGATTTAGCAGACTTTATTATCCATAAACACTGACATATCACCAGCTCCAGACACAATGCAGCTGAAATCCCAGTCATGCTAGACACAATTTCTTTGGATGACATCAATGATGAACTAGAACTCCTGTACTTTAGCACAACTGATCTCAATCTCAGTCCACAAACATGTCCAACATGACATTCCCACAAGAGCATAGAAAAGAAAGGAAACAAAAGGGGAATAGCAATTTTCACCCCCTAGAGGGGAAGTCTAATCTATGCACTTGTATAGGAGGCAAAGAATATTTGGTCAATTATGCCCTAGAGTACGACAGGTCTTCAAGTTCTGGACCCACATATTTATTCCCCTCCACTCGCTAAGATCAGAGAAGTCAGATCAGTGGTACGAATTGAATGCATCGTAAAAGTCAACTCGAAACTATTATGTGGCTCAGAACTCACTGTACACCTGATCAAGGTCTCCCAGACCTAAAATGAATCTGGAACTCGATTTCCAAGAGGAAACTGACCAACATAAGTCCAGTTATTTTGGAACGGATCGAAGTTCTAACAGCGAGGCTGCGAGTGGCAGAAAGGATTCGTTCATGAAAGTCCATCTCCACCGCTTTTACCATTTATAGAACTGGGCAACGAGCTTCGTCGCCCTTACTATTTGGCAATATAGGCTAGAAAGGGTAGACAGTGACTGACCATGCGGAGTATATAAAAATCAGATAAACGAGAAGCTAGAGGGCCATGCATTCCAGGCTAGGCAAAAGGGACAACATCTGTCAGCGGATTCGAGCTTCATGTGCAGCTGCTGCTGACAGCTGACTGCAAGCTTAGCTGACAGGCTAACGAAAGCACCCTCAGTACGGGTGAACTGTAACAATATTGACTGCGTTTGGAAGCATTAAAGAGTCCTGACCAACTCCCCACATGTAGCTGTGACATTGTGATGAATACCATTTTCTCGTCACCAGCTATGGAGCAAGGACCTTTTCAACATTATACTGTGCTCTGCTCACTGCTCTCGCACTCGGTCCAGGGGGCACGCTGGTTTCAAGAAACCTCTGTGACACGGATCTCGCCTCTCTGATTCTTGAACATCCAAATGTTCATGTCCCCGTCGAGTTTTGACCTTCTTCGCATGACGATCAAAGTCAATGATTGTGAGTCCCACCTCAGAACCTTCTTCGGTTTCTAGGCCTCGTAGGGATCAATGGTGGTCAAGTTGATCTACTCCAGTCCACGGGTCAACTGTTAGAATCCAAACTGTATATACGGGAGCAACCGTTTAATTCCTCTTTTTTTAATGAGATTGCAGTTCGATCTGAATCGACCATAAAAATTCAGCTCTCAGGGTAAAACATTATCTGTGGTCTTTTTTCCTTTCTCTTTCACTACTGATTGCACTAAGATTTTCGGTTTACATTTACAGATAATCAGCTTCGCAGGCTCTAAAATTATTCTTGCTTAAAGTGTATCCTGTCATTAGCTCTTAGTAGTGGGGGAATGACCACTCACTAATAGGGGAGAGATATTTGCTGTCTTGTTTAATGAAGTGTGCAATTATCTTAAAACTTTCCGATGATGAAAGTTTGTGAATCTTGTCATGATAATACCTTAGATATTTTTGACTCTATATTATAATAAACACAGGAGATTTTATTTACCATTCGCCCATCCGTCAGTGTCTTCATTCATAACGCATATTATTGCTACTGAAGTAACATAAATTTACATGATTAGATGTTCATTGATTATATTTAGTATAGTTCATCCTAAGACCAGAAAAGTTGGGTTTGTAATGTCGTTTGGCGATAATATCTTATTTTCAGATATGTTATACTAAATCATGTTGCAAAAGTGAAGTTTGAGTAAAAACAAATTCTTCTAGTTATAGGATTAAGTGTTTGTTAATCTTTAGAAAATTTTAGATCTTTACAAATTTTAAAAACTTTGCAGCGGATACACGCTTCAAATGCATATGTGGAAGTTTTCGATCTTGATTTTTCACCAAATTTATCATATTCAAATGTGCATTTGACCTCTTCAAATTTTATCTCTTCTGTACCATCAAAGCATCGTTGCTAAGAAGTTTAAAGCTACATACTTTGGAGTAATAAGTCGGGAACAAGCTACGATGCCGAGTACTGCATCACACCTCAAAAGCATACCCGAACCCGATCCATGCCCAAGTATTCTGCGCTTGTGGTACCCATACCCGACCCATATCCAAAGAGACAAAACCTAAACCCGAAACGAACCCAAGTCGCCTCTGAATTGATACCCGACTTGACCCCAATAGATGGGAAAAAAACATACTTTTATTATTTAGCTTTAAGTTTTCGGTGGAACCGAAACATGAACAGATGGGAAAAATACGTACTTTTTTTATTTAGCTTTCAGTTTTCGGTGGAACCGAAACACGAACAGATGGGAAAAATACGTACTTTTTTTATTTAGCTTTAAGTTTTCGGTGAAACCGAAACATGATGGGAAAAAAACATACGTTTTTTATTTAGCTTTCAGTTTTCTGTGGAACCGAAACATGAACACATGTGAAAAATCCAGCAGTTCTCTATTTAGCTTTCGGTGATAGGTGGAAATTTAATCTAGGCTGTAGACGACATTAGCATTGAGTGTAGAAACATGAGATCGTCGAGCTTCGAAGGATGCAACAGGTTGCGTTTTTTGCTCATGGTATTCTCTGCGTCCGAGAAGTTACTCTCAGATTTTGCGCTAGAAGCTGGAATGGCTAACACAAAGCGAGCTAGTGAAAAAAGTACATGGAATTCGTTTTGATGGATCTTCCACCAAAATAAAACTCCATATTTAGATAGAAGTGTGCTTTCATTGTCACTACACGTGTGACAAATATAGTTTCTGTTCTCAAAGAAAAATCAAGTTGCACGTCATCGGCAAGAGGCTTTTCTTCGATGGTGCTGTCGCTCTCAGAACTATAGTCGGCAAGATGACGCGCAACACGTCGATTGTACTCTTTCTGTTTCTTATGAGATCGCACACTCCTCTTGCCGATGCCAGAGCCAATCATATGATCTTTCATCATATTTTCTAGATTTTTTTGGCCAAGTTCAATATTGGCAGAGTCGATGCCAAACTTGTCTAGATGACACTTGGTTTTAGGATTGAGTAGGGCGGCAATGACATGAATGTCGCTCCAAATAA